ACTTATTTGAAAAAATAATAATCTAAAAGGAAAAGGAATAGACAAATGCTTATAAAACATATAGGCATAGCCACCCCTGTTCTCTGTTTTTTGAATTTTTAGTATAAATTTTTAAATAGACATGAATGTTGCTATGTTGCCCAGGCTGACCTTGAACTCCTGGCTCAAGCAATCCTCCCATCTCAAACTCCTGAGTAGCTGGGACTACAGCAATATACCAATACACGGTTCAAGCAATTCTCTTGCCTCGACCTCCCAAGTAGCTGTAGCTGGGATTACAGGCATGTTCCACCATGCCCAGCTAATTTTGTATTTTTAATAGAGACAGGGTTTCTTCACGTTGGCCAGGCTGATCTCAAACTTCCGACCTCAGGTAATCCAACTGCCTAGGCCTCCCAAAGTGCTGGGCTTACAGGCATGAGCCTCTGTGCCTGGCCTCTTTTTTTTTTTAATTTACTGTAGGTTTTTTTCTTTGTGGTTACTATAAGGATTATCCTAAAACATCTTATGAGTGTGGTAAACTATTTTAAACTGATAACAATTTAACTTCAGCTGCATACAAAAATTCTACACTCTTTCTTCTCTGCCTGTATTTTGCATTATTGATGTCATAATTTGTATTTTTTTTTTGAGACAGAGTCTCACTCTGTCACCCAGGCTGGAGTGCAGTGGCATGATCTTGATTCACTGCAACCTCTGCCTCCAGGGTTTAAGTGATTCTCCTGCCTCAGCCTCCCGAGTAGCTGGGATTGCAGGTAAATGCCACAACACCCAACTAATTTTTATTTTTTAAGTAGAGACAGGGTTTCACCATGTTGGCAAGCCTGGTCTTGAACTCTTGAGTGCAAGTGATCTGCCTGATTTGGCCTCTCAAAGTGTAATTTGTATTTTTTGTATACTATGTACCCATAGGCAAATTGTTGTAGTTATACTCATTTTTAACCCTTCTGGCTATTTTTTTTTTTTTTGAGACAGAGTCTCACTGTCACCCAGGCTGGGGTACAGTGACATAATCATAGCTCACTGCAGCCTTAAACTCCTGGGCTCAAGTTATCCTCCTGCCTCAGCCTCTTGAGTAGCTAGGACTATAGCTGTGCCCTACCATGCTCAGCTAAATTTTTTTTAATTAAAAAATTTTGTTTCGTAGAGTCAGGGTCTCACTATGTTGCCCATGCTAGTCTTAATTCCTGGCCTCAAGCAATCTTCCCACGTTGGCCTCCCAAAGTTTTGGAACTACAGGTGTGAGCCAATGCACCTGGCCTTTTAACTTTTAAATGACCTGTCTTCAAGCTCATCAATTGTTTATTCTGCTTGATGGAATGCTGTTGAGATCCTCTATAGAATTTTTCAATTAGTCATTGCGTTCTTTAATTCCAGAATGTTTGTTTGCATCTTTTCTATGTTTTCCATCTCTTTTTTGGACTTGTAATTTTGTTCCTGTATAATTTTCCTGATTTTGTTTAGTGTTTATCTGTGTTCTTGTTATCTCACTGAGTTTTTTTTTTAAACAGTAATTTTGAATTCTTTGCCAGGCAATTTGTAATTGTTCATTTCTTTATAGTTGGTTACTGATGGTTATTTTGATTTGTGTTGGTAACATTTTTTTTTCTGTTTGTTTTGTTTTGCGATGCAGTCTTGCTCTGACACCAGGCTGGAGTGCAGTGGCACAATCTCGGCTCACTACCACCTCTGCCTCCCAGTTCAAGTGATTCTTCCACCTCAGCCTTACGAGTAACTGGGACTACAGGTGCACACCACCATGCCCGGCTAACTTTTGTATTTTTTAGTAGAGATGGGGTTTCACATGTTGGTCAGTATGGTCTCGATCTCTTGACTTGTGATCTGCCCACCTCAGCCTCCCAAAGTGCTGGGATTACAGGTGTGAGCCACCGCACCCAGCCAGTGTCATGTTTTCTTAGTTGTTCATGATCTTTGTGAACTTGCTTTGGTGTTGAACATTTGAAGAAGTAGGTATCCCTTCTAGTCTTTACAGACTCGCTTTGGTAGTGAAAGCCCTTCGTCAGAGATACTGGGTGAGCTGTATAGTGAAGTTTGTAGGTGGGATTACTGCTGAAGTTATCAGACATGCTGATCTGGTGCCAGGGTCAAGTGATGGGCCTGAGGACTGTGTCCATGGGAACCAGCCTGAAGTCTGGGTCTACAGAGGTTCACTTGGTGCTGGGCTGGTTTGGACATAGGCCCATAGGATGCCTTGATCCTGAGCTCATAGGGGTCTACCTGCTTCCAGGATCTGCTGTGGCAGGCCTGGACTCTGGGTCCACTGGAGCATAGGGTCACAAGAACCAGCCTGGAGCCTGGGTCTGGCCTAGGGCACAGTTGGGTCTGGAGTCCACAGGGGTCAGTCTGAAGCTTGAGGCTGTGGGTGCTGTCCTAGGCATATGGAGCCTGTGTTTTTAGGTATGGTTCTGAAGCTTTGGTCTCTAGGAGCTGGCCTGGCATTGGGGTCTCCTGGGTCAGGTCTGGATATTGAATGTGGTGGAGTAGGTTTGAACCCTGGGTTTGCTGGAGTGTAGGACCATCGGAGCCAGCTTAGAGACTAGAGCCACAGGGGCTGGGTAGGTTGACAGCCCATATCCATGGGGGTCATCCTGGACCTTGGGTCTATGGTTGCCAGCTTTGTACCTCGAGCTGAGGATGCCAACTTGGAGTCTGGGTCATTGGGGGCCAGCTGGTCATTGGGTTTCAGTGGAGGAGTCCTACTGCCAGGTCCACAGCAAAGTTTACTTTATTCTCCATCCTCCAACATGAAGGTTTTCTCTCATCACACTATAATTTCTGGGCTTGGGAGAGTGATGAACTGGGTAATGCAAAACTGTCCTTCTTAACCTCTTTATTGTATCTTTTCCTGTTTCTTTGCTACAGCAAGGTGCTATAATCTCTTACTTGGATTATTTAGTTCTTGTGAATGTTTGTTCATGAGTAAATAGATGTTTAAATTGATGTGAGGGCTCGGTGCTGGAAAGTCTCATTCTAACATTACTCTTGTTAAAGTTTTCTATTTCTTCTTTAATCAATGATAGTTTGTGTGAAGAATTGTTCCTTTGTTCCTTTCCATTTAGTTTATTTTGTTGGCATAGCCCTGTTTATAATATTCTTCTAAAATTTTCATTTCTGTAAGATTAGTAATGTCTCCATTTTCAATTCCGACTTTAGTAATTTGAGTCTTTTTTTTTTTTGCACTCCTATTTCAACATAGAAATTCAACTGAATTTCAGTTATCAGAATCTGCCAACATGAAGACAATAGGATTTAGCCTTACAAATTAAGAGAGAAACTGAATGACTTAAGTCATGAAATATCAGATGGCATACAGGATTTAATTTTGAAATTCTTCAATTTCTCTTAGAAATTTCTTCAGCTATGGGAATAGATTTTTGATGATGCTCCAAATTTTAACTGGATCAATTTGCAATTGGTGTCAGAATGGAGTGCAATTGAGAAGGCTTATGTTTCTGTAGCATCTAAATTTGGTTTAACATTCAAAGAAATCATAAACAGAGCCAATATGTTTGCCTTGTAAAGATAATTTTCAAAGAAATGTACCCTTCTTAGACAAGGTAGCAAAAAAAGAGATGTACCTTGAAGGTAAGATACATTAACTGCTAGAATATTAACTGCAATTTAATTTGTCCATGTTCAATATTCACAATACTCATGAGGATAGCTCCCATTTCATTGGATATAGTCTGCGATTTCTGGTTAACTTAGTATATACAGAGCATACATCTCAATTTTAAAAGTATGGTGTTCAGAGGAGAGTCATTTGAAGGTAGCTGTAATTTCAAGTTTATTAACCATAAAGTCCAGCATTGAAGATTATATAAAATTTTATCAAAATTTAAAAATAATAGACCACATTGAAAGAAAATACTTAAAAAGCATGGTGATATTGGTTAAGAAATTGATTAAAGTATCAGAATATACTTAAATATATTTATTCTGCTTGTTTATTCTTATGTTTAGTCAACATAAATAGCTTAAAATTTTTTTCCTTACTACAAAAATATTATTTTGCTTTAACTTATATATGTTATTGTTTTACCCTTTAGGTTATAACATTATAATTAATAAAGGAATTTTTAAACACTACATAATTTCAATTACCTTAGTATTCATACCTTTTCAAATTTGTACTACTTTGGACAATATACTATATACTCAGCTGTTATTGCTTTCTAATTTAATTCCATTTTTGTCAAAGAATATGCTTTGTATGACTTGAATCCTCATACATTTATTGAGACTTGTTTTATGGCCCAGAATATGGTCTATACTGGTATGTATCCCCTGTCCACAGAGATGAATTTTACTGTCATTGAGAAGAGTGTTCCACAAATGTAATGAGATCAAGTAAGTTGATATGTTGCTCAAATCTGCTATATTCTGTTGCTTTTCTGTGTTTGTTCTATTAATTACCAAGAGAGATATATTGAAATATCTGACTATAATTGTGGATCTGGCTCCTTTTTGATCCAACAGGTTTTTCTTCACATACTTAGAATCTTTGCTTTTAGGACCAAAATTTAGGTTTGTTCTTTCCCCTCAATGAACTGTCTGCTTTATCATTATTATGATAAACCCTACTTTATCCCTGGTAATAGTCTTTGTCCTGAAGTCTACTTTGTTTTTAGCAAAGTCACTCCAGCTTTCTTTTGACTAGTGTTAGAATGGTGTATATTTTTCCATCCTTTTACTCTTAACCTATTAGTGCTTTTCATTTAACATAGTACCTGTAGGCAGCACACATTTGGGTCTGACTTTTAAAAAAATCCAATTGGACAATCTTTTTAGTTAAGGTGTTTAGACCATTTACATTTAATGTGGTTATTGATATGGTTGAATTAATTATCTTGTTATTTGTTTTCTGTCATAATTTTGGAATGAAAAGATGTTTTGTTCTTTATTATTCCATGTTTCCTCCTTATGTAGCATAGGAAACTAGAAAAATGATTTTAAAAGTTCAATATTGCTAGACTACAACAGTGAAATCAGGCTCTTTCTAGGAAAAACAAGCCCTCTTTTGCATTTGTTTATGGTATTTTAACTAAGTGTTAATTGTTCATCCTTCAAGATAAGGCAAGTAATTCTTTGTGTACTTTTATCCGTTTCCACGTCGTCTTGAATCACATTTTTCTCTGCAGATAGCAGGAACATTGTCTCGAAGAATCCAGGACATCTGATTCTGAAATCTCCAATGTAAACCACACTTCCCCTCCTAGTATATAACCAATCAATTCTTCAAGCTTTTCAAATTTACCGAGTCCCCTTCAAATACCACAGAGAAGTGGAAGCTGGGGTCTGAGACAAAAAGGTTAAAGCAGCTACATCTTGTCATAATTTTACTTTAAGTTCTTTCTTTAAAAGTTCTGCTCATTTAAATTCTTCTCCAAGGAGAGAAAAAGTAAGTTACACTGACACTCCAAAAGGGAAATGCTCCTCTCAGATGGGGATCCTCGCCCACGGCAGCAACCTGTGCACCCCGGGGATAGAACTCCTACAAATCCACTAGGCTAGGCTTCCTTAAGGGTCAGCCCCGGTTGTATGCTGGGGTCAACCCGAACAGATCAGAGCTCAAGGCTTCTGAGGCTCTTTCTGCTCAGAACTGTATTTCCCAGCGGCCACCGCACCGATCCACTTCCGGTCTCCAGGGGTTGACGACATAGTGCGGTAAGATCTTCACGTTCGAGGAAGAGAGCGGTGGCTTCGGGAGGTCACTGCCGACTGGGGCTTGAATCTGACCCACCCGACAGTGCGGGTGGGCAAGAGAGGCGCTCAGAGTAGGAATCCCGGGGTGCAGACGGGACCTGCAGGATCGCCTGGCATGCATGTGCGCGGGCATCAGAAGAGGGGGATTGTGCGATCATGAGTGACGGAGGGGACCGTGTGAGTGTGTGCGTGAGGCCCTGTGCACAGGCCCGGGAGTGCGGGTGGACGCAGCACACTTTGCTCGGGCTGTGTGTATGTCACTGCCCCTAGGCTCCTGCTGCTTCCTCCGTCTTTCCCTTTCACAGCTGCAGGGGCTGCAGCAGAGAAATGGCTCCAGTAGGGAGGTCAGATATTGAACTGAGAATGGAGCTTTCCACAAGAAGTACAGAAGTGCCCCCGGGTGTTCCCCAGGAGGGCAGCTGCATGTTGAGAACCACAGCGTCCTCAGTCAGAGCTCTGTCCCCAGGAACCAGCTCCAAACTGGTTGTATTGGTTGAACCGATTCCTCCTCCTTTTACTTCCTTCCCATTTCGTGTGAAGTGAGGGAAACTGTGGCCGTGGAGGGAGGGTGCTTTTAAACTTAGTCTGCGCTCCAAGAAGAGCCTGGAGTCTCACGCTTGCCTTATCCTTCCCAGTCGTATTATTCAAAAGAAGGACCTGAAGGATGAGAGCATTGTTGTTGCACACCTAAAAGTCAAGGGTGAGGTTGTGCATTGTATTTGTTCAAGAAATGCGTTTTTGATTTTAGAATATTGAAGTTCCTGTAAATTTTCAATGAATCTGGGGGTATATGCAAATTGATTTGTGTCCCCTCCCATCGTGCCCCCTCTCTTACCTTTCCACTTAATATTCACAAAACCATTTGGCAAAATGTTCACACCTTCCTGTGCACTCTCTTTTGCTAAGCTAGTACTGAAAGACATCTCCAGTAGTTAATATTAAAGCTCCATTTTAGACTCTTATTTGGGAAGGAGGAGATTAGTGTTTAGGTGGAATCACACATCGGACATCTGTTGGTCTTTACAGACCTCCTTTTCAAAACAGGGAAGCATGGAGATGGTTGGATGACTTCAATTCATCTGTGAGGCTTTCAGGAGTGGGAAAGTGACCACACAGAAATTGGTATCAACAAGAGTCAGGATTTTTCCAGGAAGTCCATGGGATGACATTTGTAATACTTGCCAGATCTCTCTGAGGTTTGGCAGCTCCAGTCGTGTTTTGGGCATTTGTGTGTGTGACTGTGGACTGTAAGAGGCAGTACACTACTGTGGTTAAGAATAGGAGAGTGGATCCAGAGTATCTGGGTTGGAATGCTGGTTCTGTCATTAGAATGAATTAATATTGTAAAGCCCCTTAGAGCAGTGCTAGGCATATAATAATGTTTAATATGTTTTCACTGTTGTTTTTGTGTGGTCATTTTAAGTCTGCGCTCCAAGAAGACTTGACTTTCTATAGAACAGGAGCATTAGGAATATGTGATTCATTGTGATTGCTGCTGGTACATTAAGAAAATGAGGGAGATGCTCAAATGATCTAGGACAAAAATTATTTTTAAATCGGCAGATACAACTATATGTATTTATCATGTGCAACATGGTTGTTTTATGGTCTTCATGCATTGTGGAATGTCTAAATGTAGCTAATTAACCATGCAGTACCTCACATAGTTATCATTTTTGTGGTGAGAACACTTCATATCCACTCTTCTAACATTTTTCAAGACTACAGAACAGTTATTAATTGTAGATACTGTCTTGTGTAACAGTTCTCTTGAACTTATTTCTTCTATCTTTCTGAAATTTTATGTCATTTGACCAACATTTCCCCAGTCAACACTGCTTCCTTTTCTCCCTCATCCACATTACCCCAGATCTGTAAATACCATTCTACTTTCCATTTCTATGCTATCAACTTTTTTAGATTCGGCTGATGAGTGAGATCATGTGTCTTTCTGTGCCTGACTTACCTCACTTAATATGATGTTCTCCAGGTTTATCCATGTTTTTGCAAATGACAGAATTTTCTGCTTGTTATGCTAAATATTATTCCCTTGTGTATATATACCTGCATATATGCCACATTTTCTTTATCCATTCATTCACTGATAGACACGTAGGTTGATGCTGTATCTTGGCCGTTGTGAATAGTGCTGCAATAAACATGAGTGTGCTGATATCTCTTTGACACACAGATTTCATTTCCTCTGGATATATACAGTAGTGGGATTGCTGGATCATATGGTAGTTCTATTTCTAATTTTTTGAGAAACATCCATACTGTTTTCCATAATGGCTGTATCACTTTACATTCTCACCCACAGTGTGCAAGGGCTCCCTTTTCTCTACATTGTCACAAACGCTTCTTAACTTTTATCTTTCCAATAACCACCCTGACATATGAGGTGATATCTTATTGTAGGTTTAATTTTTGTTTCCCTTATGATTAGTTGAGTATTTTTTCATATACTGTTGGCCATTTATATGTCTTCTTTTGGGATGTGCCTATTCAGGTCCTTTGCCCATTTTTTAAATCAGGTTTTATTTTTGCTGTTGTTTGGTTTCCTCTTATATTCTGGATATTAACCTCTTATTATTTAAATGGTTGCAAATATTTTCTCTCATTCTGTTGGTTGTCTATTCACTTTGTTGGCTGTTTCTTTTTCTGTGCAGAAGCTTTTAAGCTTGATATAATTTTATTTGTTCATTTTTGCTTTTGTTGCCTGTGTTTTTGAGGTCAAATCCCAAAATCATTGCTCAGATCAGTTTCATCGAGCTTTCCCCTCTATGTTTTCTTCTATTTATTTCATAGTTTAGGATCTTAAATTTAAGTGTTTAATCCATTTAGAGTTGATTTTTGTATAATGGTTTGAGATAAGGGTCTAATTTCATTTTTCTACATATGGATACTTACTTTTCACAACAGTATTTTTTGAAGAGTCTTTTTCCATTGTATGTTCTTGGCACCCTTCTCAAAAATCAGTTAGTTATAAATGTATGGACTTTTTCTGGGCCTCTCTAGTCTGTTTCTTTGGTCTATGTGTCTGTTTTTATGTTTGATTACTATAGCTTTGTAGTATGTATTGAAGTCAGGTAGATTGATGCCTCCAACTTTGTTCTTTTTTCTCAAGATTGCTTTGACTATTTGGGTCTTTTGTGGTTCTATACAAATTTTAGCTTTTTTTTTCCTATTTCTGTAAGGTATGTAGGGCTGAAATTCTTAACCTGAGTTCCTGTGATTCCATTTACGGTCTCAGGGACCAAAAGCACTTGAAATAAAATATTGAAGCCTTATAGAAATTATAAATGTGGGTTTTAGAGAGAGAAGTAGTATATAATTTCACAAGATTATACAAATTTATGTGACTCATAAAGTTTGGATCCATTGGTTTAGATAGAACATTGGTTCTCAGCTGGGGCAATGTTTAGAAACTTTTGGTTGTCAGGCTGTTGGGGAGGGTCCTACTTAGATCTAATGGACAGAGGTCAGGAATGCTGCTAAACATTGTATTACGTATAGGATAGCTCTCCCCAGTCCCCCAACTAAGAATTATCCAGCACAATATGTCAGTAGTGCCTAGGGTGAGAAACCATGGTCTAGAATCAAAAGATTGTGATATCTGGAATGACATTGTAAATGATCTTGTATAAACTAAGTGTTCTGTAATACTGAAATCATTAAGCAAATCATACTAGACTCAAGTGATAGAGTATTATGCAGGTAATAAAATGATGTCCCTTGGATGTAGGCAAGAGCTTGGTTTCCTCCATACTCCACCTGTTCACTGCCAGTTTATTTGTGAGAGTGTGTGTGGGGGGACAAGGAAAGTGATGAGAGAGGGGTGGAAGTGTGCGTGTTAGCAGGGGTAGTTGAGAAATAGGAATGGAGGATAAAATAGTTATTTGTTTCAAGTCACTCTGGGAGCATTGAGACATAGCTTGACCTATGGCCTTTTTTGTGGTTTTCCAGGAGAGAAGCTGGAATAAGATTGACCAATTTTATAATTCTAAAAACATGGTCCATGTAAGTTGGTATTTCTCTTTTCTCCTTGATATAGGGTGTCTTTCAGCTTAGGCGACTGTTATCATTTAACCTGAAGCTTCTTACCTAGGGAGCCAAAATCTTACACCCCAGTTTGTCCCATTACAGTGAAGGTTGGCGACAAAAAAAAAAAAAAAAAAGTCAGTGCTCTTCCTATTTGTACCTCTGTTTTCCTACTGGCTTTGATGTTTTCTTAGAGCAGGTTATTCCTTCTGTGCTCTGTGCTCAGACCTTGATCAGGAAGAATATTGGAACAGTGGAGAAGTCAGTCCCCATAGGGAAACAGGGTTTTGTGGGTTTGATAAGTGACAGATGATTGACCACATTTGGGAACACTTTGAAACTTCACAGACTGGAGCTTTCCAGGTAGCTAAGGTAGAATTCCATAGTGAGTGGCCCCAGTCTGCAAATGTGACAAGGAGATCTGCTTTATGAGGCTTTTAGGAAAATGATCAGTGACAACAGTGGGCAGTGACAGGGAGAAGATTATTTGGGGCATGAGTGATAGGTGATTACAGATTCTCTGGCCGGATGTGGTGGCTCATGCCTGCAATCCCAGCACTTTGGGAGACTGAGGCAAGTGGAGGTCAGGAGTTTGAGACCAACCTGGCCAACATGGTGAAACCCTGTCTGTGCTAAAACAAACAAACAAAAAAACCAATAAACAAAAATTAGCCAGCGTGGTGGCACATACCTGTAACCCCAGCTACTCAGGAGGCTGAGGCAGGAGAATTGCTTGAACCTAGGAAGTGGAGGTTACAGTGAGCTGAGATCATGCCACGGCACTGCAGCTTGGGTGACAGAATGAGACTCCATCTGGCCATCCTAAATGTATAAACAGAAAAAAATGATTAAATCTAATATGTCGGTTATATTGACTTCCATGCAGCTTATAAAAAAGCATTTGCCATGACAAGAAAAAATACTTTTGTTATCATCTCATACCGTAATGAACTTGAGGATTAAGAACATTCTTCAATTGTATGCAACCCCCACCTATTTTTTTTTTTTTGATCTGAGACAGGGTCTCGCTCTGTAGCCCAGGCTAGAGTGCAGTGGCATGATCACAGCTGTAGCCTTGAACTCCTGGGCTCAAGTGATACTCCTACCTCAGCCTCCTGAGTAGCTGGGACTATAGGTACGTGCTACCACTCACGGTTACTTGTTTAATTTTTGCAGAGATGGGATATCATTATGTTGCCCAGGCTGGTCTCAAACTCCTAGGCTCAAGCAATCCTCCTACCTCTGCCTCCCAAAATGCTGGGACTATAGGCATGAGCCACCATGCTCAGCCAGCAGCAGGCTTCTTTCTTGAAGAATGTGTAGGCACTCTGAATTTCCATATTGCTCCTTTCTTACAGTTCAGTCCTTTACTTCCTCTCCTTTCATCTTGAAACAACTTTCTTCAATTTCACCATAATACATGTGTTTGTGGTTTCAGGGATCAGTGACATTCAGGGATGTGGCCATCGACTTCTCTCAGGAGGAGTGGGAGTGCCTGCAGCCTGCTCAGAGGACCTTGTACAGGGATGTGATGCTGGAGAACTACAGCCACCTGATCTCACTGGGTAAGGTCCTCTGCCCCAGTTAATTTAGCATCTGTTCTCTGGAATATTAGCTTACTTCACCATGAATTTCAGGGCTATCTTTTAAGAGGTAGCTGAATTCCTTCTTCTTGTTCCCAAAGGAGTGATTTGAGATGTTGGATTGAAAACAGGCACCTCCCTGGAGCCCCTGCATCTTGCCTACTCCACAGTGGCCTCCTCCATTACGCTGGTCCTCTCTGTAATTTCTTCTCTCTCTTCATGACTATGGGACTGAATTTGAAATTCATTGAATGTACAAGATTTCAAATTCAGTCCCATAGTCATGAAGTTATTTTTTCTTCAAACATAATATGAAACCATGTTCTCGGACAATAACTTCCCATAGTCATGAAGTTATTGTCCGAGAACATGGTTTCATATTATGTACAGTCATGAAGTTATTGTCCAAGAACCAGCTTTCATATTATGTTTGATCTCAGAATTACTGTAGATTTTAGATTTTCTTTGTTTATTGATTGGTTTTTGTTTTTCTGATCCACCTATAAGGAGAAGAGTGTCTTAAGAACCACTATGATCACTGGGAGGCTGAGGCTGCAGTGGGGTGTACCCATCACTGCACTCCAGCGTGGGCAACAGAGTGAGACCCTGTCTCAAAAACAAAAACAAAAATATCTGTGATTTACATATACTGATTGGGTTGACAGAATTCATTTAACACTAAAGTGAATGAATGCTTTCTATTGCCTTCAACAAACATTCTGTTACTTGTTTTGTAGTTGAAAGATTCAGGCCATGAAGTTTATGTATTTTCATTGAGTGAATATACTGAATGAGCTGTACATGTCTAAGCATGCAAAATAAATGACAATAAACATAATAATTCTTGACTTTGTGCAACTGCATATCAGACAATGTTAGAAGTATTTTACACATATTCACTTGTTTAGTCTTAGTATCAATCATATCAATATAAAATATTAGCAATATAAAATTTACTATCAACATAAAATAGGTATTATATCATCCCCATTTTAGAGTTCAGAAAAAGGACAGAGTTTAAGTGACTTACCTGAGGTCATACTACTAGTGAGCCGCAGAGACAGGATTTGAACGTGGCAGTCTGGCTTGAAGTTTCCTGCTCTCAGCCACTCAGTTATACCTCTTTTCGAGGGATAAGATTCTGAGTTTAAATGAAACAAAGTCCTATTCTAACATAGAGTTCTCTTAGTCAACCTCTCACTCTTATCTGAAGTCTCTTCTCAATATTGTTTTGACTTGTAATTTATTATAAGTTTAACCAACTTTCAGAGACTTGAATACTGAGACCAGCTTGGCCATAGAGACCCCACCTGGGTGGCACTGAAGGCATTAAGAAGCAGACACCCAGGCAGAACAGCAAAGTGGGACTATTCGGGGGGCCCACAGCCTTCCGAGCTGAAAGCCTCAAAGGGCTGACAGCATTCTGGGCATAAGGGCCTCCAGCAGACTCTGACCACATGTCTCTGAACAGGTGATTATTATTAACAGCAGGTGTCCTGTGTTTTTCATAGAACCAAGGTATACTAGGCAGGCAGCTGGTGCCTACTTACTACTGATCACAGAAAAACTAAAAAGTATTCTCCACAAGGGAGCCACGGGGCAGGGTCACATATCCCATGCTTAAAGAATTGTTTTAACCGGTGTGTGATATACGTATACTGTCTTGCCACTTTAGAATGCCCCAAGTAGTTTTCCACTGTTGGGTGCTGGGGGTTGGGGGGAGCGGCTGGGTTTTCCTTGCCACTGCTCTTCTTAGCAAACAATATATTTTATCATACACTCAGCATTTCTCAATATTTGAAAAAAATTATATTAAAAAAATTCTGTATGTATCATTTCTTTTAATCAGGAAGTTCCATTTCTAAGCCAGATGTGATTACCTTACTAGAGCAAGAGAAAGAACCCTGGATGGTTATAAGGAAAGAAACAAACAGATGGTATCCAGGTAAGTGAGAGGGTAAGCAGGCAGGGGGAAGCCATCATTGACCTGGACAGCCCATGTGCTCAGAAAGGAGTCACACCCCTGAGCTGTGGTTTAAAAAACTTTAATAACCCAAGGGCTGTTGGACAAAAATGCCCAAGACCTGGGAAGGAAATGAAGATTACACAGCAGGCCTACCCCCTAATCACCTAATTTCTGTTCTCTTATATCCTTCCCCTTTTAGTGGAGTAAGTGCCCTCTTTTTTTTCCCAGTGTAAACTTTTTTTTGTTTTAGATGGAATCTTGCTCTGTCCTCCAGTGTGCAGTGCAGTGGTGCAATCTTGGCTTACAGCAACCTCCGCCTCTCGGGTTCAAGCAATTCTCATACCTCAGCCTCCCAAGTAGCTGGGATGATGGGTGCCCGTCACCACAGCTGGCTAATTTTTGTATTTTTAGTAGAGATGGGGTTTTGCCATGTTGTCCAGGCTGGTCTCGAACTCCTGACCTCACGTGATCTGCCTGCCTCAGCCTCCCAAAGTGCGGGGATTACAGGCATGAGCCACCATGCCCAGCCCATTTGTCAATTTTTTAATTGGATTTTTTTTTTTTTTTTTGCTGTTATTTGGGTCTCTTGTCAGAGAAATAGTTTGCAAATAATTTCTCTCATTTCATTTTGTCTATTCCCCCTGTTGATAGTTCCTTTGCTGTGCAGAGAAGCTTTTTAGTTTAATGTAGTCTTATTTGTCTATTTTTGTTTTTACTCCCTACGCTTTTGCAGTGTTAACCAGAAAATTTTTGCCTAGATCAAAGTCCTAAAGCACTTCCTTCATGTTTTCTTTTAGTAGTTTTATAGTTTTGAGTTTTACATTTAAGTCTTTAATCCATTTCCAACTGATTTTGTATATGGTGAGAGATAGGGGTCTAGTTTCATTCTATTGCATATAGATATCCAATTGTTTCAGCACTATTTAGTTTTGAGATGGAGTCTTGCTCTGTCACCAGGTTGGAGTGCAGTGGCAGGATCTTGGCTCACTGCAATCTCTGCCTCCTGGGTTCAGGCAATTCTCCTGTCTCAGCCTCCCAAGTAGCTCGGATTACAGGCGTATGCCACCACAGCCAGCTCATTTTATTTTTTGTAGTAGACATGGGGTTTCACTATGTTGTCCAGGATGGTCTCGATTTCTTGACCCTGTGATCCGCTGGCCTCAGCCTCCTGAAGTGCTGGGATTATAGGCGTGAGCCACCACACCTAGCCCTATTTATTTATTTTTGATTATTATTTTCCAATTTTTATTTTAGGTTCAAGGGGTACATGTGTGGGTTTGTTATAAGGGTAAATGGCATGTTGTGGTGGGTTTGGTGTACAGATTATTTTACCACCCAGGTAATAAGCATAGTACCCAATAGGTAGTTTTTTGATCTTCATCCTCCTCCCACCCTCCACCCTCAAGTAGGCCCTGGTGTCTGTTGTTCTGTTCTTTGCGTCCATGTGTACTCAGTGTTTGGCTCCCACTTGTAAGTGAGAATATGCAGTATTTGGTTTTCTATTCCTTCATTAATTTGCTTAGGATAATGGTGTCCAGCTCCATCCATGTTGCTGCACATGATCTTGTTCTTTTTTATGGTTGCATAATATTCCTTGGTGTATATGTACTGCATTTTCTTTGTCCAGGTAACCACTGATGGACATTTAGGTTGATTCCATGTCTTTGGTCCTGTGAATAGTGCTGTGATAAACATAGCCATCTATGTGCCTTTATGTTAGAATTTTTTTTTAAATTTCCTCCTTGTCTGGTTTTGGTTTCATGGTATGCCAGCTTCATAGAATGAATTAAGGAGGATTCCCTTCTCTGAAATTTTTTGGAATAGATTGAGGAGAATCAGTGTTAGTTCTTTGAGAGTTTGTAGATAGAATTCAGCAGTGAAGCCATCGGTCCTGGACTTTTTTGGGTGACATTTGATTACTGATTCAATCTCATTATTCATTATTGGTCTGTTCATCTTTTCTATTTCTTCCTGATTTAATCTTGGTAGGGCCTATGTGTCTAGGAATTTGTCCATTTCCTCTAGATTTTCCAGTTTGTTAGTATGTCGTTGTTTCTTATACTCTCTGATGATCTTTTCTATTTCTGTGGTGTCAGTGCTAATATCTCCTTTTTTATTTCTGGTTTTGCTTATTTCTTCTCTTCTTGGTTAGTCTAGCTAGTGGTTTATTAATTTTACTTATATTTTTAAAAAATGACTTTCCTTTCATTAATCTTTTGTATTATTTAGTCTATATTTTATTTAGTTCTGCCATGATTTTTATTACTTCTTTCTTCGTACTAAATTTAGGTTTGGTTTGTTCTTGTTCTTGTAGTTCCCTGAAGTACCTCGTTAGATTGTAATTCTTTCTGCTTTTTTGATGTAGGTGTTTATTGTCGTCAACTTCACCCTTAGCAGTGCTTTTGCTGTATCCCGTAGGTTTTGGTGTGTTGTATTCTGATTTTCATTTGTTTCAAGAAGTTTTTTTAAATTTCCTTCTTAATTTCTTTCTTGATCCAGTGGTTACATAGGATCATGTTGTTTAATTTTCATGTATTGTACAGTATCAAAAGTTCCTCTTGTTACTGATTTCTTGTTTTTTCCATGTCTGAGAAAAGACTTGATATAATTTTGGTTTTGAAAAATTTTAAGAATTACATCCTAACATATGGTCTATCCTAGAGAATGTTTTGTGTGCTAATGAGAAAATGTGTATTCTGTAGCTATTTGATGAAATGTTCAGTAAATGTCTGTTAGGCCTATTTTGTCTAATGTGAAGTTTAAATCCAATGTTTCTTTGTTAGTTTTCTGTCTAGATGACCTATCTAATTCAGAGTGGGGTGTTGAAGTCCCCAACTATTGTTGCACTGGAGTATATCTCTCTCCCTTTTGATCTAATAATAGTCACCTTATATATCTGGGTGTTCTAGTATTAGGATTATAGTATGTTTAGAATTGTTATATCTTCTTGCTGAATTGAACCCTTCATCATTATACCATGACCCCTCTTTGTCTCTTTTTGCTGTTTTTGACTTAAAATCTTTTTTAATGAGATAAATATAGCTCTCACTAAAAAGACTTAAAATATTTTTTTTCTGATATAAATATAGCTCTTACTTTTGGTTTCCATTTGCACAGAATATCTTTTTCCATTCCTTTGCTTTCAACTCATATGTGTCTTTACAAGGGAGATGAGTTTCCTGTCAGCAGCATATAGTTGGGTCATTTTTAAAAAAAATTCATTCAGCCAGTCTATATCTTTTAAATGAAAAGTTTAATCAATTTACATTCAATGTGATTACTGACATTTGAGGGTTTATTCTTGTCATTTTATTAATTGATTTCTAGTTGATTTGTATATCTTTCGTTCCTTTCTCTCTTTTTTTTTTTTATCATTGTGGTTTCGTTATTTTCTATAGAGGTAACATTTGAGTTCTTTCTCTTTATTTGTGTGTTGGCTGTGCCAGTGGGCTTTATAATTTTGTGTGTTTTCACAATCATAGATATTGTTCTTTCACTTCTAGGTATAGGACTATTTTTTTTCTATTATAATAATTTGGTAGTATATTTTCTTTATATGTATATATATATATATTTTATTGTACTTTAGGTTCTAGGGTATATGTGCAGATCATGCAGGATTGTTGCATAGGTACATACATGGCAATGTGGTTTGCTGCCTCCATCCCCTGTCACCTCTATCTGGCATTTCTCCCCATGTTATCCCTCCTCAACCTCCACCCCCAGCTGTACCTCCCCTAGTCCTCCCTCAACAGACCCCAGTGTATGATGCTCCCCTCCCTGTATCCATGTGTTCTCATTGTTCAACACCCACCTATGAATGAGAACATGCAGTGTTTGATTTTCTGTTCTTGTGTCAGTTTGCTGAGAATGATGGTTTCCAGATTCATCCATGTCCCTACAAAGGACACAAACTCATCGTTTTTTATGGCTGCATAGTATTCCGTGGTGTATATGTGCCACATTTTCCTAGTCCAGTCTATCATTGATGGACATTTGGGTTGGTTCCAGGTCTTTGCTATTGTAAACAGTGCCGCAATGAACATACGTGTGCATGTGTCTTTATAATAGAATGATTTGTAATCCTTTGCATATATACCCAGTAATGGGATTGCTGGGTCAAATGGAATTTCTATTTCTAGGTCCTTGAGGAATCACCACACTGTCTTCCACAATGGTTGAACTAATTTACACTCCCACCAACAGTATAAAAGTGTTCCTTTTTCTCTACATCCTCTTCAGCATCTATTGTCTCCAGAGTTTTTTAATGATTGCCATTCTAACTGGCGTGAGATGGTATCTCAATGTGGTATTGATTTGCATTTCTCTAATGACCAGTGATGATGAGCACTTTTTATGTGTTTGTTGGTCTCATATGTGTTTTCTTTTGAAAAGTGTCTGTTCATGTCTTTTGCCCACTTTTGAATGGGCTCATTCATTTTTTTCTTGTAAATTTGTTTTAGTTCTTTGTAGATTCTGGATATTAGCCCTTTGTCAGATGGGTAGATTGCAAAACTTTTTTCCCGTTCTGTTGGTTGCTGGTTCTCTCTAATGATTGTTTCTTTTGCTGTACAGAAGCTCTGGAGTTTAATTAGATCTGATTAATCTATTTTGGCTTTTGTTGCCAATGCTTTTGGTGTTTTAGTCATGAAGTCCTTGCCAATGCCTATGTCCTGAATGGTTTTGCCTAGGTTTTATGGTGCTATGTCTTATGTTTAAGTCTTTAATCCATCTGGAGTTAATTTTAGTGTAAGGTGTCAGGAAGGGGTCCAGTTTCTGTTTTCTGCACGTGGCTAGCCAGTTATCCCAACACCATTTACTAAACAGGGAATCCTTCCCCTGTTGCTTGTTTTTGTCCAGTTTGTCAAAGATCAGATGGTTGTAGATGGCTTCCAAGGCCTCTGTTCTGTTCCACTGGTCTATATCTCTGTTTTGATACCAGTACCATTCTGTTTTGATTACTGTAGCCTTGTAGTATAGTTTGAAGTTAGATAACATGATGCCTCCAGCTTTGTTCTTTTTGCTTAGGATTGTCTTGGCTATGCGGGCTCTCTTTTGGTTCCATATGAAGTTAAAGGTGGTTTTTTCCAGTTCTATGAAGAGGGTCATAGGTAGCTTGATGAGGATAGTGTTGAATCTATAAATTACTTTGGGCAATATGGCCATTTTCACAATATTGATTCTTCCTAGCCATGATCATGGAATGTTTTTTCATTTGTTTGTGTCCTCTCTTATTTCCTTGAGTAGTGGTTCATAGTTCTCCTTGAAGAGGTCCTTTACCTTCTTTGTTAGTTGTATTCCTAGGTATTTTATTCTCTTTGTAGCAACTGTTCATGGGAGTTCACTCTTGATTTGGCTCTCTTTTAGTCTGTTATTGGTGTATAGGAATGCTTGTGATTTCTGCACATTGATTTTGTATCCTGAGACTTTGCTGAAGTTGCTTATCAGTTTAAGGAGATTTTGAGCTGAAATGATGGGGTCTTCTAAATATACAATCATGTCATCTGCAAATACAGACAATTTGACTTCCTCCTTTCCTAAGCGAATACCCTTTATTTCTTTTTCTTGCCTGATTGCTGTGGCTAGAACTTCCAGTACTATATTGAATAGGTGTGGTGAGAGAGGGCATCCTTGTCTAGTGCCAGATTTCAAAGAGAATGCTTCCATTCAGTGTGATACTGGCTGTGGGTTTGTGGCAAATAGCTTTTATTATTTTGAGATATGTTCCATCAATACCTAGTTTATTGAAAGTTTTTAGCATAAAGGGCTGTTGAATTTTGTCAAAGGCCTTCTCTGCATCTATTGAGATAATCATGTGGTTTTTGTCTTTGGTTCTGTTTATGTGATGGGTTAGGTTTATAGACTTGTGTATGTTGAACCAGCCTTGCATCCCTGGGATGAAGCCTCCTCGATTGTGATGGATAAGCTTTTTGCTGTGCTGTTGCAATCGGTTTGCCAGTATTTTATTGAAGATTTTTGCATCTATGTTAATTGTGGATATTGGCCTGAAGTTTTCTTTTCTTGCTGAATCTCTGCCAGGTTTCGGTATCAGGATGATGCTGGTCTCATAAAATGATTTGGGAAGGATTCCCTCTTTTTGTATTGTTTGGAATAGTTTCAGAAGGAGTGGTACCAGCTCCTTGGCTATGAACCCATCTGGACCTGGGCTTTTTTTGGTTGGTAGGCTATTAATTGCTGCCTCAACTTCAGCCCTTGTTATTGGTCTATTCAGGGTTTCAACTTCTTCCTGGTTTAGGCCTGTACAGGAATTTGTCCATTTCTTCCAGGTTTGCTGGTTTATGTGCATAGAGTTTTTTGTAGTAATCTCTGATGGTAGTTTGTATTTCTGTGGAATAGGTAGTGATATCCCCTTTATCGTTTTTTATTGCATCTATTTGATTCTTCTCTCTTTTCTTTTTTATTAATCTGGCTAGTGGTCTGTTTATTTTGTTGATCTTTGAACTCTTAAGCATATCTTGCAGGGCTGGTCTACCCTCAGCTTTTGCTTATCTGGGAAGGATTATTCTTCTTCATTTATGTTGGATAATTTGCTGAGGATAGTATCCTTGACTGACAATTTTCTTCTTTCAGCACTTTGAATATATCATTTCATTCTCTCCCATTTCTTTCTGTTGAGAAGCCTACTGTTAGTCTGATGAGAGTTTCCTTGTAAGTGACTAGATGCTTTTCTCTTGCTGTTTTTAGTATTCTCTCCTGTCTTTGATTTTTGTATTTCGACCATGATGTGCCATGGAGAAGACCTTTTTGTGTTGTTCTCTTTGGGTATCTTTGAACTTCGTGTATCTGGATATCTACATCTCTTGCTATAGTTGGAAAGTTTCCAGCTATGATTTCATTAAGCAGATTTTCTTTCCTTTATTTTTTCTCTTCATCTCTGGAACCTCAAAAATTCAAATATTTGGTTGTTTTATGATGTCCCATTAGGGGCTTTGTTTCTTCTTCTTTTTTTCTTTTTCCATTTTTGTCTGACTAGGATATTTCAAAAGAATTGCCTTTATATTCTGAGATTCTTCTATGTTATCTAGTCTGTTGTTGAAGATTTCAAATGTATTTTATATTTGATTCAATGAATTATTCTGTTTCAAAATTTCTCTTTGGTTCTTTTTTATAATGAAGTTGCTAAATTTCTTCTTATCCTGAGGTTTTTTTTTTTTCATTTCTTTGTATTGTTTTTCTAAATTCTCTTGTATCTCACTTGGCTTCTTTAATGTAATTATTATGAATTCTTTTACTAGGATATAGCATTTTTCCCCCCATTGGAATGTTTAAGGAGAATTATTATATTCCTGGGGCGATGTCCTGTTTCCTTCTTCTTCTTTTTTTTTTTAATATCCTATGTCCTTATGTTGATACCTGCACATCTGACATAATAGCTACTTCTCATTTTTTTTGAATTTGCTTTTGTAGGGGAGTATTTTTTCCTAAAGCTGTATCTATGATGTAGTTAGATAGGAAATTTTAGCTTTGTTTCTGTGTGTATCCAGTAGGGTTGTTGTGTAGTATCATGATTTTTTGGGGCTGTAAACAGTGTCATTGGTGTCTGTGATTTCTTCTTTGGCTTTGGGTGTGATGGTTAGTGGAGGGTGCGGTGAAGTTTTATTGGGAATGCAGAGTGATACAGTTTAGATATGAGTGATATGAGAAAGGTTCTATCTACCAACTTTGTTGGTTTTGGCTAATAAAACCAATAAAGGTTTTATTGGTTTGAATTGATGGTTTTAGTTGATGAAAGTACTTTGTATGCATGTGTGCTATAGGAAAATAAAATATGTTTGCTTTCTTCATTTCTTTCAGATTTGGAGTCAAAATATGGACCTGAGAAAGTATCTTCAGAAAATGTTATCTCTGAAGTAAATTTACCCAAACAGATTACAAAGCAAATAAGTAAAACTGTTGGCCTTGAGGCCTTTTATTTTAGAAATGACTCAGAATATAGAAGGTTTGAGGGACTACAAGGATATCAGGAAGGATATATCAATCAGAAGTTGATCAGCTATGAAAAACTGCCTACTTATGCTCCTCATGCTTCTCTTATTCACAATACACATAAACCTTATGAATGCAAGGAATGTGGAAAATACTTTAGTCGTGGTTCAAATCTTACTCAGCATCAGAGTATTCATACTGGGGAGAAACCCTTTGCATGTAAAGAATGTGGGAAAGCCTTTCGACTTCACATACAATTTACTCGACATCAGAAATTTCATACTGGTGAGAAACCTTTTGAATGTAAGGAATGTGGAAAGGCCTTTAGTCTTCTCACCCTGCTTAATCGCCATAAGAATATTCACACAGGTGAGAAACTGTTTGAATGTAAGGAATGTGGTAAGTCCTTCAATCGTGGTTCAAATCTTGTTCAACATCAGAGTATTCATGCTGGTGTAAAACCGTATGAATGTAAGGAGTGTGGGAAAGGCTTTAATCGTGGTGCACACCTTATTCAGCATCAGAAGATTCATTCCAATGAGAAACCCTTTGTATGTAAGGAATGTGCGATGGCCTTTCGATATCAGTACCAACTTATTGAACATTGCCAAATTCATACAGGTGAGAAACCCTTTGAATGTAAGGAATGTGGAAAGGCCTTTACTCTTCTGACAAAGCTTGTTCGACATCAGAAGATTCACACTGGTGAGAAGCCCTTTAAATGCAGGGAATGTGGAAAGGCCTTTAGTCTTCTCAACCAGCTAAATCGCCATAAGAACATTCACACAGGTGAAAAACCATTTGAATGTAAGGAATGTGGGAAGGCTTTTAATCGTAGCTCAAACCTTATTCAACATCAGAGTATTCATGCTGGTGTAAAACCATATGAATGTAAGGAGTGTGGGAAAGGCTTTAATCGTGGTGCACATCTTATTCAGCATCAGAAAATTCATTCTGATGAGAAACCTTTTGTATGTAGGGAATGTGAGATGGCCTTTAGATATCATTGCCAACTGATTGAACATTCTCGAATTCATACTGGTGACAAGCCATTTGAATGTAAAGACTGTGGGAAGGCCTTCAATCGTGGCTCGAGCCTTGTTCAACATCAGAGTATTCACACAGGTGAGAAGCCCTATAAATGTAAGGAGTGTGGGAAGGCTTTTAGACTTCACCTACAACTTTCTCAACATCAGAAAACGCATACAGGTGAGAAACCCTTTGAATGTAAGGAATGTGGGAAATTCTTTCGTCGTGGTTCAAATCTTAATCAACATCGAAGTATTCATACTGGAAAGAAACCCTTTGAATGTCAGAAATGTGGGAAAGCCTTTCGACTTCATATGCACCTTATTCGACATCAGAAATTGCATACTGGTGAGAAACCCTTTGAATGTAAGGAGTGTGGGAAAGCTTTTAGACTTCATATGCAACTTATTCGACATCAGAAATTTCATACTGGTGAGAAACCCTTTGAACGTAAGGAATGTGGAAAGGTTTTTAGTCTTCCCACGCAGCTTAATCACCATAAGAACATTCATACAGGTGAGAAGCCATCTTGAATGTAAGGAATGTGGGAAGTCCTTTAATTGTGTCTCAAACCGTGTTCAACATCAGAGTATGTATGCGGGTATAAAACCATGTGAATGTAAGGAGTGTGGGAAAGGCTTCAATTGTGGTTCAAACCTTATTCAGCATCAGAAAATTCATTCTAGTGAGAAACTCTTTGTATGTAAGGTGTGGAGGAAGATCTTTAGATATCATTACCAACTTATTGAACATTACCAAATTCATACTGGTGGAAAACCCTTTGAATGTAAAGAATGTGGAAAAACCTTTAGTTTTCTGACACAGCTTGCTTGACCTCAGGTCATTCATACTGGTGAGAAGCCATTTGAATCTGAGGAATATGGGAAGGCCTTTAGTAGTGGTTCACACTTTGTTCAAAAATCAGAGTATCCATACTAGTGAGAAACTCTATGAATGTAAGGAGTGTGGGAAAACTTTTAGATTTAGTATTGTCTTCACTGCACATCAGAGAATTCATAACAGTATGAAACCCTTTGAATTTAAGGAATGTGGGAAGACCTTTAGTTGTAACTCAAAGCTTGTTCAACTTGTTAAAATTCATACTGGTGAGAAACTGTATAAGGAATGTGAGAAAGCATATGCTGTGGATGATCAGCTTACTCAACATTAGAAAATTCATAATAGAAATTTTATGAATATCAGGAATGTTGACAAGCCTTTACTGTGTATGAAAAATTTACTCAACACCAGAGAACTCATATGGATGTGAAATCCTGTGAACATAAAAGAATGTGGAGAACTTTCATCATGGCCTGGGATTTGCTTAACATCAGAGTATTCATACTGCTGAGAAATCCTTTGAGTGTAAGGAATGTGGGGTGTTTTATAGCAACTCTAAATTCAGTAGAGTTCAGAGAAGATAATTCTTGTGAGAAATTCTTTGAATGAGGAATATAGGGTAGTTGTTATGTTCACAGTATACTCCCTATGTAAATGCTTTACCAGATACAGGCATACCTTGCTTAATTGTGCACAGTTACTGTGTTTTATGCAATTTGAAGGTTTGTGGCAACCCCGCAGTGAGTAAGATGATCAGAGTCATTTTCCAAACATCATGTGTCCATTTTGTGTCTTTATGTCATGTTTCGGTAATTCTCAGAATATTTCAAACTTTTTCATTGTTATATGTCCATCATGGTGATCAATGACTAGTGATTTTTGATGTTACTATTGTAATTGCTTTGGGATACCACAAATATTGCCCATAAAAGATGGTGAACCTAGTGGATACTTGTTGTGGGTTTTGAAAAAATAGTGAAATATACAATCATATACCCCCACCTAGATACAAAATTTTTAACAATTTGCCACGTTTATTTTTTGTGTATTTGTTGTGCCATAGAGAATAAGTTTTAGACTTCATGACATTTTACCCCTTATTTAATCAGCATGGGTATCACCCAAACATAAAGACAATATCATATAGCCATAATACCATAATTACCCTTAAGGAAAGTATTCATGATTCTGTAATATCATTCCATTTTCAAATTTCTTCATTGGTCCCCAAACCATCTCTTATGGCTATTCATATTTAAAGGAGAATCCATTGCAGATTCTGAATTGCATTTGGTTATCTCTCTTCAGTATATTGTAGCCTGGAAACCCTATAAATGTAAGATCTCATATTTTGGTAGGTATTAGAATCACCTATGGAACTTAGTAAAACTACAGAGGCTTAAGCCCTAGCTTATGAGCCTGGGCCTCTGTTGTTTTTTTTTTTAATTTCTCCAGGTGATTCTGATACCAACCAGAGTTAGAGAGCCACTGGTCTAGAACATTTCTCCTCACTCTTAAAAAATGACATTAAATTTTGACTAGCCCAGGAAAGTTGTCTGCTATATGTTTAGATTTCTTTCTTTATAGTGTCGTTTAGCCTTGTTCTCTTCGTTGTATATTCTGTACAAGAGAATTTGAGCCCAGAGGCTCTGTTAGGTCTAGATTAAACATTTTGGGGAAGAATACTTTGTAGGTTATTTGTATGTCATGTTTTATTGTCAGAAAACATTTAAGTACAGGTCCTTGCATTAGTGAAACTAAGTTTGATCATTTGGGTAAGCTGGTAGCTACCATGTTAAGTAATCTATGGAGAGATTTCGTCACCCCTGAAAAATTATAGTCATGTGTATTTTATCCCTGGATTGAATACAAAATGAAAATAGAATAGACTATTGAGAAATGAATGCCATGAAGGTATCAACATAATTCAACTTGTGTGATATGGCTGACACTGTACTCAGTACAAAATTAGCACCCTCTATCTAGTTTATGCAGGGAGCCAAGGTTGTTTTGTCTGGAACCTTGTTTTTGTTCCGCATTTATCACCAGCACCTATACCATGTCTGGTACATGAGCTATTGATAAACTTCGAAAAAAAATTAGCGCTTAAATCAAGCTATAAAATGTGATACCATTGTGGGATCATGAATTATATTAATTTTTTTAAAGATCAATAATAATCCTTTATGATTTTATTCCAGTATATTTAAAAATCTATAAAGTGATAATTTATATTGATAGCTTTCTTCTTTTTGTGAATATACCCTTATCAGATTATTATTGCTTTGATAGGCAATTCTATTTCTTAACATTTAATTGCATCTATAATCATAAGTAAAGGTATAATTTTCTAAATATTTTTCAGGTTTTGTTATTGCAATGATTTTATAAATCTTATAAAACACAGTTATATAAAACTTGGCTTTCTAGTCTCATGTTCCTATTTTTTTATTTCCAGTTTCATCTTTTTCGTATTGATTCTCTTGGACTTTTTTTTTTTTTTTTAACTCAACAGATTCCCTGGTATTAACCCAGCACAACTCCTTTATGGGTCATTGCACGTCCTGGCAGTGTCATTAAGGATTGTCATGAAAGATCCCTGGAGGCCTTGCAATGAAACTCTATTATCATGCAATCTTGGCATTTCTAAGTTGGAAGTCAGAGTCCCTTTACAAACATAATAAAACATTTCAAAGTATTTGCTAAAGTTACAAACCAAGTATGTACAAATTTAAAAATCACCTATACTTTTAAAAGCAGAAAAGTCGCCCATAGAATATTTCCTTGCTTACAAGCTCAGTGAATGTACTGAATTCACTTACAAAAAGAATTTTCTCAAATTTAGTTGCCTTTCAAAAAAATTCTTATTTCTTTTATTTGTAATTTTTTGACATTGTTGCTGCTTCAAGCTTTTGGTAATTGTACAGTATGGTCTTTATTATGGTATTAACATTTTTACTTGTCCTGAAAGAAGGGAATACAATCAAAGAAACAGAAGGTTGCTGAACTCGAACCACATTATGATATCAAGATGACCCAGAGCCATGGTTACTAAGCTGTTTAAATTTTTAGTAACAGAGGTGTATTAGAAAGTGATAGGTCAATTAGATAATTTTTTGGTTAAATTTAATGATATAATCCCCTTAAATTATGCTTAGTCAGCAGTATTTAATCTATTGTCTATTATACATCTAACTGGTCTGTTACCTTTCTTATATATTTATGTCTTACTTATAAATATCTTATTAGAGTAACTCATTTTTAAAACAATATATTTCATCTCCTAGGAGAAGAGGATTGAGTATGTGTTTTTATTTTTTCATCTGACATTTGGGTATTTTATCATTTTGAAATGCTATTGAATATTCCATTGATTTAGTCTGTGGTCTGACCTTCACTCCCTAGCAATGATTTTTATTTGGACCTTCTTTTACCTGATTCATATCAGTTAGGAGTAGCCATTAGTATGGATACATTTTTCCGATTCCTAGTATACTGCCCTTTCCAAAAGTGTCTGGCTTGCTCAAAGTTTTCTATATTTGTTCCATTCCACTTTTACAGATGAATACAAATAGCTAACTATTCCTTCTAAACAAACATAAAGTTGGTGGAAAAAAGGCATATAAACAGCTCTTTCTCACCTACTACCAACAGTAAATTAAACATTTTTAACTGCAGCCTCCTTTTGTAAAATTTATAGCCATTTATCTTTTGAGTATGACATGATACTAGATGTATGATAATTCTATATTTCATGTGTCAGTATTAACATGATTTTTAACGGACTTGTTCCAATGAACTTTTATACAGATGGTCCCCAACTTAACAATGTAGACTAACAATTTCTCACTTTATGATGGTGCAAAAGTGACATGTTATAGTTTGAATATTTGTCCCCTCCAAATCTCATGTTGAAGTTTGATCCCAGTAATGGGAGGTGTTTGGGTCATAGTAGAAGATCCCTCATGAATAAATTAATAAACAAATGAGGCTAGGAATTTTGCCTCTTCAACTGAGAGTTGGTGGGGATAATGTGAACCAGCGTTCTGTTTTTCTGTTGTGAAACCTCTGCCTTACAAGTATGTGTGTGTGTGTGTGTGTGTGTGTATGTGTGTGTGTGTGTATTTTCACAGCAATAAAGGAAAATACAATGTCTTATCAAATAAAGAATATCAATAAAGGAAATCATAAAAGGAACCAAATATAAATTCTGAGTTGAAGAATATAATAATCAAAATTTAAAAATATCATTAGGAGGTCTAAATAAGTTTCAGCTGGCAGAAGAATTAGAAAATTATGCAACCTCAATTCCATCTTCCCACTAGAAAATAGCGTAAGAAAATAAAATGAAGACATAAAATGAGAAAATAGATCAAAGAAAAATGAACAGAGGCTGGATGCAGTGGCTCATGCCTGTAATCCTGGCACTTTGGGAGGCTGAGGTGGGCAGATCACCTGAGGTCAGGAGTTTGAGAACAGCCTGGCCAACATGGCGAAACCCCACCTCTATTAAAAGTACAAAAATTAACCAGGCATGGTGGCAGATGCCTTTAATCTCAGCTACTCAGGAGGTTATGACAGAAGTGCTTGAACCTGGGAGGTAGAGGTTGCAGTGAGCTGAGATAATGTCACTGCACTCCAGCCTGGACAACAAGAGCGAGACTCTGTCTCAAGAAAAAAAAAAAAGAAAAGAAAAATGAACAGAGCCTCAGAGAAATGTAGGACACCTTTAAGTGCACCAACATACATGAAATGAGAATACCAGAAGGTGAGGAGAAAGAGCAGCACAAAAATACTCAAAGAAATAATGGCTAAAAACATCCACAATTTGTTGAATAAACCTTATACATGCAAGCATCTCAACAAATGTAAGTAGAATGAATGCAAACACGTCCACAAACAGACACATCATAGTAAAAATGCTAAAAGTGAAAGAAAATGTTGATAGCTATAAGAGAAAAACTGTGTTACAAGGGTATCCCAATAATTAACAGCAGACTTCTCATCAGAAACAATGGAGGGTATAAAGGCAGTGGGATGATATACTGAAAGTACTCAAAGGACAAAAGCTCTGTCTACCATGAATTTTATTCCTGGTAATGATATCTTTCAAAAATAAAGGTAAAATAAAGCTCTTCCTAGATCTACCATATAAGAAATTGCAAAGAAAGTTACTCAAGCTGAAGCAAGTAAATCCACATGAAATTCCAAATTTCATTTTAAAAAAGAAAAAAATTAATATTTTTAATTAAAGGTAATTATAGTTGGGTGCAGTGGCTCATGCCTGTAAACAAAGCACTTTGGCAGGCCGAGGCAGAAAGACTGCCTAAGGTCGGGAGTTTGAGACCAGCCTGGCCAACATGGCAGTACCCTGTCTCTACTGAAAATACAAAAATTAGCTGGGCATGGTAACGTGCATCTGTAGTCCCAGCTACTCAGGAGGCAGAGGAAGCAGAATTGCTTGAAACTGGAAGGCAGAGGTTACGGTGAATTGATATAGTTCCACTGTACTCTAGCCTGGGTGACAAAGTGAGACTCTATCCCCAAAACAAAAAAGGTAATTATAAAAGGCAGCATATGATGCAATATATTCATAATTGTGTTGTGTTGTGTTATGGGATGCAGCAAAAGCAGCATTCAGGTAATTTTATAGCTGTTAGTGTTTACGTTTAAAAAGATAGAAGATTTCAAGTCAACAACTTAGCTGCTAAGTTGTTATAAACTAGAAAAGAAGAAACTAAATTTGAAGTTAGTAGAAGGAAAGAAAAATATTAGAGAATAAAAACAATGGAGAAAATTAGTAAAACTAAGCATTAATTCTTTGAAAAGTTCAACAAAATTGTCGAACCATTAGCTAGTTGATTAAGAGAGAAAACTGAAATAACTAGGCTCAGAAATAAAACAGGAACATTCCTATGAATTGCATAGTAATGGAAAGTATTATTTGAGTACTTTTAACAGTTGTCTGTCAATAAATTGGATAACTAGACAAAATGGAAAAATTCCTAGAAACACACGCATGACTAAGACAATCATGAAGAAATAGAAAATCCGAATATACCTATGACCAGTGAGGAGACTGAATAGTAATCCAATACCTCCTAATGAAGAAAAGCCAAGGACTAGATGGCATCATTGGTAAAGTCTAGCAAATGATTTTAGATCTTTATTCTTTTCTACCATTATAGGCATTTAAAGCTAGAAATTTCTCACTAAAAACCTGTTTAGCTGTTTCAAAAACTTTGTTTTTATTAAAAATACATTGTAGGTGAGGTGTGGTGGCTCATGCCTGTAATCCTAGCATTTGGGGAGGCTGAGATAGGGGCATTGCTTAAGGCCAGAAGTTTGAGACCAGCCTGGTCAACATAGCCAGATCCCATATCTGTTTTTAAGAAGTAAAATTTAAAAATACATTATAATTTCTCTTATAATATATTCTTTGATACATGGAGTATTTAGCAATGTGTTGAATAATTTCAAAATATTTTTGAATTTCCCAAATTTTCTCAGTTTTTTATTTCTAATTTAATTTCATTGTGGTCAGAGAATTTACTTAGCATGACTTACTTTTAAAACTATTATGATTTGCCATATGATCTAGTATATTATTTAGTTTAGAAATTGTTGCATGTTGAGTATATATTTTATTATCAGTTGAGGGTTCAATAAATATCAATTAAGTCAGACTAGTTGGTAGTGTTGTTTAAATCTTCTATATCCTTGCAGATTTTCTGTCTAGTGGTTAAAATTTTTGAGAATAGACTGTTGAAATCTTCAACTTCTATTGTTGAAATGTCATTTTCTCCCTTCGGTTTTGTCAGTTTTTGTTTCATGTATGTAGTCTCCTGCTTTTAGGAACATATATGTTCATTGTAGTTTTATTTTTCTGATTAACTCACCCTTTGTCATGAAAAAAAAATGTCCCTCTTTTCCTCTAGTAACATTTTAAAAGTCTATTTTGTCTGATGGAAATATTAACCTTTCCTGTCCTCTTCTGATCACCATTTGTATGGTATCTATTTGAATCTTTTTCCATCCTTCTGTTTTCCATGTTTTCGGCTTTAAAAAAACCTAACATACATCTTAGCTTTAAAAATCTAATTGAGATTGTTACTAATATTATATCAACAGTCACCAGGCATGGTGGCTCACACCTGTAATTCCAGCACTCTGGGAGGCTGAGGTGGGAGGATTGCCTGAGGCCAGAAGTTCAAGACCAGCCTGGGCAATATAGTGAGACTCTGTCTTCACAAAAAATTAGAAATAAAATTTTAATCAAAGTAAATTAAATAATATCAATAGTATATAGAAAGTTTACTGCAATGTAGACCCCTTCCTTTCCTTTTGTGCTATCATAGTAACACAAATGGCAGGTTTATACATTATGAACAAAACAATATACTTGGTTTTATGGAGTTATCTTTAATCAGTTAAATTAAAAGGGTAAAAGCATATGTTATCTTTTATTTACCTATGTAATGACTTTAATCACTGCTCATTGTTTCTTTGTGTGGATTCAAGTTACCATCTGGTGTTACCTTTCATCCTAAAGAACTTTAATATTTCTTATTAGCAAAGTCTGCTAGCAACAAATGCTTTCAGTCTTTACCTGCGGTTCTCTTGAAGTGTGTTCACATTCTTGTACAGTAAGTGTATGGGTGTGTGTGTGCGTATGTGTGTGCAAGTGATCAACTTTGCGAAGAGTTTGGTCATTCTTTTTCAAGAATTATTCCTTTTTCTTTCCCTCTGGCCCCTCCTCTCATATGTATGCTGGTGTTTTTAATGATGTACTACATGTCTCTGAGGCTTTCTTCATTTTTATTGTTTCTTTTTTTCTTTCTGTTCTTCAGACTGCATAATTTTATTGGCCTATTTTCAAGTTTACAAATTATTTTTTCAGGTTAAATCTGCTATTGAGTTCTTCTAGTGATTTTTTTCATTTCAGTTACTGTACTTTTCAACTCTAGAATTTCTACTTGGTTCTTCCGTTGCAGTAATAATTTCCACCTCTATTGAAAGTCTCTGATTGGCAGGACATTATTGTCATATTCCTTAAATTGTTTACATATGGCTTACTTTAGTTCTTTGAACAAAATTAAAATAGCTGCTTTCAGGTCTTTGCTAAATCCAACATTTGTGCTATCTCTGAGACAATTGTCTACTAGCTGCTTCATTCCCATCCCCTCTGAGTCAGTTACTTGGATTCTTTAGCTCCTGTGAAAGTTTGTTTATGCATAGACAGATGTTTAAATTGATGTTTCTGTGAGAAATAAGTGCTGGAAAATCCCATTCTGCCACCTTGCTAACATCACTCCTGTTAAGATTTTCTATTTTTTCTTGAGTCAATGATAGTTTGGGTGTTTCTAGGATTTTTTTCCTTTCCAGTTAGGTTATTTTGTTGACATACAATTGTTTATAATATTCTTGTATAATCATCTTCATTTAGGTTAGTAATGTTTCCACTTTCAACTCCAACTTTAGTGTTTTTGATCTTTTCTTTTTTTTCTTGTTCAGTCCTGCTATAGTTTTGCCACTTTTTAGAAATCTTTTCAAAGAACCAACTTTTAATTTTATAAATTTTCTCTATTATTTTTCTATTTAATCTAACCCTATATTTGTCTTTATTATTTCCTTCCTTCTCATGACTTCATTTTTTTTCCTATTTTCATATTCTAATTCCTAAATGTATACAGTTATATCATTGATTTGACATCTTTCCTCCTTTTTATATGCATGTAGAGCTATACATTTTTCTGAGGAGTAAGCATCTCATAAATTTTAGTCATGTGCTTTTATTTGCATTTATCTAAAATATTTTCTAAATTCTCTCTCTTTTTTTTTTTTTTGAGACGGAGTTTCACTCTTGTTACCCAGGCTGGAGTGCAATGGCGCGATCTCGGCTCACCGCAACCTCCGCCTCCTGGGTTCAGGCAATTCTCCTGCCTCAGCCTCCCGAGCAGCTGGGATTACAGGCACGTGCCACCATGCCCAGCTAATTTTGTATTTTTAGTAGAGACGGGGTTTCACCATGTTAACCAGGATGGTCTCGATCTCTTGACCTCGTGATCCACCCGCCTCGGCCTCCCAAAGTGCTGGGATTACAGGCGTGAGCTACCGTGCCTGGCCCCTAAATTCTCTTTTTATTTGTTCTTCAACCATTTGGTTAAGATTGTATTGATTTGGCACAAAATTCAATATAGAAATTCAACTGAATTTCAGTTATCAGAACTTGCCAACATGAAGACAATGGGATTTAGTCCTACAAATTAAGGAAGAAACTGAATGGATTAAGTAATGAAATAACATATTGTATACAGGATTTAATTTTGAAATTCTTCAATTTTGCCTAGGAACTTCTTCAGCTATGGCAATAGTCTTTTGATGGTGCTCCCATTTTTAACAGGATAAATTCACAATTTGTGTTAGAATGTAATGCAATTGGGAAGGCTTATGTTTCTCAAACACTTAAATTTGGCTTAACATGCAAAGGCATCATAAATTGGGCCAATTTTTTTGGCTTTAGGAATAATTTTTAAAAAAATGTACCCTGCCTAGACTAAGTGGCAAAAAAATTAGAATGTACTGTGGAGGCCAAATGCATTAGCTGCTAAAATATTTGCAGTCTAATATTCCATATTCACAATACTCATGAGGATATCTTCTATTTCATTGGATATATTCTAAGACTTCTGATTATTTTAGTATATGCAGGTATATATCTCAATTTAAAAAGTATTGTGTTCAGAAAAGTGTCATTTGAAGATAGCTATAAGTTTATTAACCATAAAGTCCAACATTGAGGATTGTATACAATTTCATCAAAATTTAAAAATAGACAACATTGAAAAAAATGTCCTTAAAAATAGTAATACTACTTAAGAAATTGATTAAAGTATTGGAATATATACCAAAAATAATAACTCTGCTTCTCTTTATTTTAATGTTTAGCAAATAGTTTAAAATTTTTTTCTTACCACAAAAATGTTGTTTTAATGTAAATATGTTTTTGTTTACCCTTTTGGATATAACATAAAAATTATGATCCATAAATAAAATGTTCAAACATTATATAATTTCTTTTCTCTTTTACTAGACATTCTACTCCTTTATATAATTTCAATTATCCTAGTATTCATACACTTTCAAATTTTTACTACTTTGGACAGTATATTATATAGTGAGCTGTTATTGATTTCTAATTTAATTCCATTTTTCTCTAAGAACATACTTTGTCTGACTTGGGTATTGAGCCAGAATATGGTCTATGTTGGTAAGTGTTCCCTGTGCACATAAGATGAATTTTATTGTCTTTGAGAAGAGTGTTTCACAAGTGTAAATGAGATCAAGCAGGTTGATACGTTGTTCAAATAATCTATACTCTGCTGCTTTTCTTTGTTTGTTCTATCAATTACCAAGAGAAATATGTTGAAATGTCTAATTATAATGGTGGATTTGTCTGTCACCTTATTGACCTAACAGGTTTTTACTCACATACTTAGAAGCTATATTAAGTGAATAATTTAGGTTTCTTCCTTCCAGTGGATGAAGTGTCTTCATCATCATTATGATGTAACTTTTTTTTATCCCTGATAGTCTTTGTGCTGAAGTCACTTTGTTTTTAATACAGCCACTCCAGCTTTCTTTAGACTAGTGTTAGGATGGTATATATATTTTCCATCCTTTACTCATAACCTATTAGAGCTTTTATATTTAAAGTATTACCTGTAGGTAGCATGTATTTGGGTCTGACTTAAAAAAAAATCCAACCTGACAATCTTTTTAAGTTAAGGTGTTCAGACCAGTTACATTTAATGTGATCATTGATACAGTTAAAATTATTATCTTGCTGTTTTCTGTCACAGTTGGGAATGAAATGACATTTTGCTCTTTATTATTCCATGTTTCCTCCTTATGTAGCATAGCAAAGTACAAAAATGATTTTGAAAGTTCAATATTGCTAGATTACCACAGTGAAATCAGGTTCTTCCTACAACAAACAAGCCCCCACTTGCATTTGTTTAGACTATTTTAAGAAAATGTGTTAATTATTCATCCTTCGAGATAAGGCAAGTAATTTTCTGTGTACTTTTATCCGTTTCCATGCCGTCCTGAATCACATTTTTTCTGTCTAGATAGCAGGAACACTGTCTTGAAGAATCCAGTACATTTGATTCTGAAATCTCTCAATTAAACCACACTTCCTCTTCGAGTATAAAATCAACCATTTCTTTAGTTCAAGCTTTTCAAATTTATCCTAAGTCCCCTTCAAATAGTACAAGGTGGAAGCCTATGTTGGGATCTGAGTGAAAGCAGCTACATCTTGACATAATTTAACTTTGAATTCTTCTTTAAAAATTCTGCTCATTTACATTCTACTCCATGGAGAGAAAAGGTAATTTACACTGACGCACCAAGAAGAGCAACTCTCCTCACAGATGGGGATCCTCGCCCGTAGCAGCAACCTGGGCACCCCACGGTCTGGAACTCCCACAATCCTTTAGGCTCGGCTCTTTTAGGAGCCCTCGACGTATGGTGTGATCCACCTGAATACTAGCGCTCAAGGCTTCTGAGGCTCTTTCTGCTCAGGACTGTATTTTCCAGAGGCCACCGCACCGGAATTAACGGTTCCACTTCCGGTCACCAGGGGTCGACGACGTAGTGGGGTAAGGTCTTCCTGTCCTGGAAAGAAATCGGTGGCTGCGGGAGGTCTCCGCGGACTGGGACTCGATCCTGACAGACCCGGCAGTATGGGTAGGTGAGAGGGAGGCCCTCAGAGGGAGAATCTGGGGCGCAGACGGGATCTGCCGGATCCCCAGGCGCGCATGTGCGCGGAAGCAGAGGAGAGGAGTTTGTATGATCATGAGTGCCGGAGGGGACTGTGTGAGTGTGTGCATGAGGCCCTGTGCACATGACCGGAAGGTTGTGTGGACGCAGCGCGTTTTGCTGGGGCTGTGTGAGTGTCACTGTGCTGGTGGCTCTAGGCTCCTGCTGCTTTCTCCGTCTTTCCCCTTCACAGCTGCGGAGGCTGCAGCAGAGGAATGGCCCCAGTAGGGAGGTCAGATATTGAGCCGAGAATGAAGCTTTCCACAAGAAGGCGCAGATCGGGGCTCGGGGTGGGAATCTGAGAGCTGAAAGTGCCTCTTGAGGGTCCCCCAGAAGGGCAGCTACATGTTGAGTACCCAGCATCCCTCAGAGCGCTGTCCCCAGGAACCAGCTTTGAACACGGACCAATTCCTCCTCCTTTTATTTCCTTCTCATTTCGTAAGAATTGAGGGAAGTTGTGGCCTTGGAGGATGCTTTCAAACTTAGTCTGCCTTCCAAGAAAAGCCTGGAGCCTCACGCTTGCCATATCCTTTCCCAGTCGTACAATTATCCAAAAGAAGGACCGGAAGGAGGATGATAGCGTTATTGTTTCACACTTAAAAGTCAACAGTGAGTTTGTGCTTTGTATTTAAGATATATATTTTTAATTTTAGAATATGGAAGTTCCAGTGAATTTCAGGAGAATATGCAAATTGATTCTTGCTTCCTCCCATCTTGTCACCTCCCAGCGAGTCCCCCCCAACTTTCCACTTAAATTTGCAGAACCGTTTGGCAAATCGTTCACACTTTCCTGTGCGCTCTCTTCTAAGCTGGTATAAAAATAGACCTCCAGATGTTTACATTAAAGCTTTATTTTATACTCTGCTTTGGTAAGATTAGTCTATGGAATCACACACCAGGTATCTGTCTTTACAGGCCTCCTTTTCAAAGCAGGGAAGAATGGAGACGGTTGGGTGATTTCCATTCCTCTGTGAGGCTTTCAGGAGTCAGAAAGCGATTGCCATGTTGGCCAGGGTGGTCTCGAACTCCGGAACTCAGGTGATCTGCCCTTGGAAAGTGCTGGGATTACAGGTGTAAGCCTCTGCCCCAGGCCTATATAAACATTCTTTAGATTCCACTGATGAGTAAGATCATGTGTCTTTCTGTGCCTGGCTTACTTCACTTAATGTGATGTTCTCCATGTTCATCTGTGTTGTTGCGAATGACAGAATTTCCTTTTTTATAGCGAAATACTGTTTCATTGTGTATATATGCCTGCATATATATCACATTTTCTTTATTCAGTCATTCATTGATAGACACTTAGATTGATTCCATATCTTGGCTATTGTGAACAGTGCTGCAATAAACATGGGTGTGCAGATGTCACTTTGACATGGATTTCATTTCCTTTGGATATACAGTAGTGGGATTGCTGAATTATATGGTAGTTTTATTTTTAATTTTTTGAAGAACCTCCATAGTGTTTTCTATAATGTCTGTGTCACTTTACATTCTCACTTACAGTGTACAAGCATTCCCTTTTCTCTACATTCTCACAAACACTTGTTAACTTTTGTCTTTCCAATAGCCACCCCAACACATATGAAGTGATATCTTATTGTAGGTTTAATTTTCATTTCCCTGATGATTAGTAAAGTTGAGCATTTTTTCATATACTGTTTGCCATTTATATGTCTTCTGTTTGCCATTTATATGTTTTCTTTTGTGGTGTGTTTATTAGGTCCTTTGCCCATCTTTAAATAGGGTTGTTTTCTTGCTGTTGAGTTGTTTGAGTTCCTCACATATTTTGGATATTAACCCCATATCAGATATATGGTTGCAAGTATTTTCCCTCATTCTGTAGATTATCCCTTCACTTTGCTGTGCAGAAGCTTTTTTAGCTTGATTGATGTAATGTCATTTGTCTATGTTTGCTTTTGTTGCCTGTGTTTTTGACATCTTTTCCAAAAAGAAAAATCATTACCCAGATCAATGCCAGGGAGCTTTTCCCATGCATTTTTGTCTATTTGTTTCATAGTTTGGGTTCTTATATTTAAGTCTTTAATCCATTTAGAGTTGATTTTTGTATAATGGTTTGAGATAATTTCATTCTTCTGTGTATGACTAGTTTTCACAGGTGTCAAAGAGACTGTCTTTTCCTTATTGTATGTTCTTGGCACCTGTCTCAAAAATCAGTTGGTTATAAATGTATGGATTTATTCTGGGGTTCTCTATTCTGTTCCATTGGTCTATGTGTCAGCACCATACTGTTTTGGTTACTATAGCTTTGTAGTATATATTGAAGTCAGGTAGTTTGGTGCCTCCAACTTTGTTCTTTTTTGCTCCAGATTGTTTTGGCTATTTGGGGTTCTTTGTGGTTCTATACAAATTTTAGCATCTTTTTTTTCTATTTCTGTAAAGAATGTAGGACTGATATTCTTAACCTGAGTTCCTGTAACTCCACTTATTATCTTGGGGACCACAGCCTCTTGAAATAAAATATTGAAGCATTATAGAAATTAATAAATGTGGGTTTTAGAGGAAGAAATAATATGTAATTTTATAAGATAATTGAAAGAGTATGTGACCCATGAGGTGTGAATCCATTGGTCTAGAAAGAACATTGGTTCTCAGCTGGCGTGATGTTTAGAAACTTTTGGTTGTCATACTGTGGGGGAGGGTGTTACTTAGATCTAGTAGACAGAGGTCAGGGATGTTGCTGAACATTGTACCATGCACAGGATAGCTCTCCTCACAGCCCCAACAAAGAATTATTCAGCACAATATGTCAGTAGTGCCTAGGGTGAGAGAAACCTTAGTCTAGAATCAAAAGATTGTGATACCTGGAATGACACTGTAAATAATCTTACATAAACTAAGTGTTTATGGAAATCACTAAGCAAATCATACTAGACTCAAGTGATAGAGTGTTATGTATATAGATACATATATGTGTATGTATCTATACATGTGAATATAATTATATATTCCATGTTAATGCCTGTGCATAGTCATACTTATGAAGTTCTTTTAAGCAAAAAGAAGAAAATTGGGGCTACAATACAGAGGTAAATACTGTTAGCATGCATATACTTGTCTAAATTTTTTTTGTATTGATGTCTATTAGTCTTTTAAAAAATATTTTATATATGCATATATTTTACAAATGTAATCATATTGTCTATCCTATTTTGTAACCTGATTTTTCTGTTAATTGTATGTCTTGAACATTTAATGATCACTTCATATTCTATTACATGGATGTTCTGAACTGTACTTAACCAGCTGGCTTTTGCTGAATTCAGAAGCTGACCACTGGTCATGAAATTCCTTCTATATCCTTTCCAGCTTTCATGCCTTGCCCCACTGCACCCAATCCTGACTTCACAAAAAGGTTCTGGTTTGGATGATGTGATCCTCTCTCAGCTCTGAAAGGTGGGACTAGGGCAGGAGGATTGCTTACAGCAGGATCAGAGGCCCAGTCCTAGGCCAGGGTAGGTATCCTAAGAGTGGAGGACTGGTTGGAAGCCTTCCTGCTGGAGTATCTTTTGAGCAACTTCAAGACAGAAATTCCTGTGCTGTGCATTCATACTTGTGCCGCAGGTTCCCTGGAATTTAGACGAGAGCTTAGTTTCATCCACACTCCACCTGTTCACTGCCAGTTTATTTGTGAGAGGGTGTGTTCAGGGAAAAGGGGAGTGATAGGAGAGGGTTGGAAGTGTGTGTTAGTAGGGTAGTTGAGAAATAGGAATGAAGGATAAAATAGTTATTTGCTTCAATGCTTTGGGGGCGTTGAGACACAGCCTGACTTACGGCCTTTTTGTTGTTGTTATTTTCCAGGGGAGAAGCACAAGGAAGATTGACCAATTTTGTAATTCTAAAAACATGGTCCATGTAAGTTGGTATTTCTCTCTTCTTTTTGAAATATGGTAATTTTCAGGTTAGGTGACTGTTATTGTCTAACCTGAAACTTCTTACCTAAGGATCCACTATTTTACACCCCAGTTTGTCCCATTACAGTGAAGGTTGGGACCAAAAATAAAGGTCAGTGCTCTTCCTATTTGTACCTCTGTTTTCCTACTGGCTTTGATGTTTTCTTGGAGCAGGTTATTCAGTCTGTGCTCTGAGCTCAATCCTTGGTCAGGAAGAATGTTGGAACACTGGATAAGTCGGTCACCACAGGAAAACACGGTCGTGTGGGTTTGATAAGTTACAGATGATTGTCGTATTTGACTACACTTGGGAACACCTTGAAACTTCTCCACAGACTGGAGCTTTCCAGGTAGCTAAGGTAGAATTCCATAGTGAGTGGCCTCAGGCTGCAAGTGTGGCAAGGTGATCTGCTTTATGAGCCTTTTAGGAAAGTGATCAGTGAGGACAGTGGGCAGTAACAGGGAGAAGATTATTCAGGGCACAAGTGGTGGGTGATTACAAATTCTCTGAATTGGGGAAAACCTTAGAGACTGACCATCTTAAATATACAAATAGAAAAAAATGATTAAATCTAATATGTCACTTATTATTGAATTTTATGCAGCTTATAAAATCATTTGTCATGACAAGAAAAATACTTTTATCATCGATACTATAATGAACTTGAGGATTAAGGGCATTCCTCAATTTTATGCCGCCTACCTTTTTTTTTTTGAGACAAGGCCTCACTCTGTAGCCCAGACCAGAGTGCAGTAGTGTCATCACACTTCACTGCAGTGTTGAAGCCCCAGGCTCAAGCGATACTCCCACCTCAGCTTCCCAAGTAGCTGGGACTATAGGCACATGCCACCATGACAGTTACTACTTCTTCTTCTTCTTCTTCTTTTTTTTCTTCTTCTTTTTTTTTTACAGGGAATTTGCCTCGTTATGTTGCCCAGGCTGTTCTTACACTCCTGGGCTCAAGTGGTCCTTCCATCTTGGTCTCCCAAAGTACTGGGATTATAGGCATGAGCCACTATGCCAGGCCAGCAGCAGGATTCTTGAAGAATGTGTAGGCACTCTGAGAATTTCCATATTGCTCCTTTCTTACAGTTCAGTCCTTTACTTCCTCTCCTTTCATCTTGAAACAACTTTCTTCAATTTCACCATAATACATGTGTTTGTGGTTTCAGGGATCAGTGACATTCAGGGATGTGGCCATCGACTTCTCTCAGGAGGAGTGGGAGTGCCTGCAGCCTGCTCAGAAGACCTTGTACAGGGATGTGATGCTGGAGAACTACAGCCACCTGATCTCACTGGGTAAGGTCCTCTGCCCAAGTTAATTTAGCATCTGTTCTCTGGAATATCAGCTTTTTTTCACTGTGAATTTCAGGGCTATCTTTTAAGAGGTAGCTGAATTCCTTCTTCTTATTCCCAAAGGAGTGATTTGAGATTTGTTGGGTTGAAAACAGGCACCTCCCTGGAGCCCCTGCAACTTGCCTACTCCACAGTGGCCTCCTCCATTATGCTGGTCCTCTCTGTAATTGCCTCTCTCTCTTCATGACTATGGGACTGAGTTTGAAATATTGTATATTCATTGAATGATATTGTTCAAGAACCATAATATCAAACATATTATGTTTGATCTCAGAATTACTGTAGATTTTCTTTGTTTGTTTGTTGGTTTTTGTTTTTCTGACCCACCTGTAAGCAGAAGAGTGTCTTGGGTTTTTCTATCAAAAGAGCCTCTATGATTGCTTGAGCCTGGGAGGTCAGTGCTGCAGAGAGCCATAGTCATGACACTGTACTTCAGCCTGGGCAACGGAGCAAGACACTGTCTCAAAAAAAAAAAAAAGCCTCAATGATTTACATATACTGACTGGGTTGACAGAATTAATTTAGCATTAAAGTGAATGCATTTCATTGCCTTCAACAAACATTCCATTACTTGTTTTGTAGTTGAAAGTTTCAGGTCATGAAATGTATGTTTTTCTGTTGAGTGAATATTCTAAAAATGAGCTGTAAATGTCTAAGGATGCAAAATAAATAACAACAATAAACACAATAATTGTTAACTTTGTGCTACTACATATCAGGCAATGTTAGAAGTATTTATGTATATTATCTTATTTAATATTAGAATCAATCCTATAAAACAGGTATTATTATCATCCCTGTTTTACAGTAAGGAAAACTGAAGGACAGAGAGTTCAAGTGACTTGCTTAATGTCAAAGTGTTAGTGGGTGGCAGAGACAGGATTTGAACCAGTCAATCAGGCTTGAAGGTTCCTGCTTTCAACCACTAAATTATACCTCCTCTTGAGGGATAAGATTCTATTCTGAGTTTAAATGAAAGAAAGTTCTTTTTTTTTTTTTAAACATAGTTGATCTCTTACTCAATACTCTCTCTTATCTGGAGCCTCTTCTCAATATTGTTTTGACTTGTAATTTATTATAAGTTTAACCAGGTCTCAGAGTTAAAAAAAATTTATATTAAGAAAATTCTACATGTATCATTTCTTTTCTTTTAAGCAGGAAGTTCCGTTTCTAAGCCAGATGTGATTACGTTACTAGAGCAAGAGAAAGAGCCCTGGATGGTTGTAAGGAAAGAAACAAGCAGATGGTATCCAGGTAAGGGAGAAAAGCAGGCAGGGGGAAACCATCATTGTCCCGGACAGCCCATGTGGTCAGAGAGGAGTCACACTTGTGAGATGTAGTTTGGAAAACTTAAGACCCAAGGCCTGTTGGATAAAAAGGGTCAAGACCTGGGAAGGAAATAAAGATCACTGTAGGAGCTGTCCCTAAGGAACTTTATCTTTCACTAATCACCTAATTTCTGTAATTTCCTTCCTCTTTTCATGTAGTGAGTTTCCTCTTTCTTTTCCAGCATAAACATTAAACAGTTTTTAGAATTATATTTTTTAAGAGCCAGCATCTTGTTATGTTGCCCTGGCTGGTCTTGAACTCTTAGACTCAAGCAGTCTTCCTGCTTCAGCCTCCCAACTAGCTGGGATTCCAGGCATGAGCCAATACTCCTGGCCCCCAGTGTAAACTCACTTGACCCCTAGTATAAACTTTTAACACATATTTTGGATCCAGCTACTTTCCAACTCTACTTTTGCATTTAGATTTCTATATGTGTTTTCACTAAGAAGTATATTCGGGCCGGGCGCGGTGGCTCAAGCCTGTAATCCCAGCACTTTGGGAGGCTGAGGCGGGTGGATCACGAGGTTAAGAGATCAAGACCATCCTGGTCAACACGGTGAAACCCCGTCTCTACTAAAAATACAAAAAATTAGCTGGGCATGGTGGCGCGTGCCTGTAATCCCAGCTACTCAGGAGGCTGAGGCAGGAGAATTGCCTGAACCCAGGAGGCGGAGGTTGCAGTGAGCCGAGATCGCGCCATTGCACTCCAGACTGGGTAACAAGAGTGAAACTCCGTCTCAAAAAAAAAAGTATATTCATATTCAGTAAGTATGTATGGAGTGCCCATTCCTAGAAGGCACTGTGCTTGGCTTTGTCAATACAGTAATGTATAGGTAATAAACAAGACTGAGAAAGTCACTGCTGTCATGGACTTTACCAGTAGTTGGTGAGACATGCATCAAACAAGTAAGCAAATGAATAGATAAGGAATAGAGAATTGTGCTATAGAGACAAGGCAATAGGAGTGATGGAGTGAGATGACAGCATTTGGGTGCTTAGGGTACTTGTGTTGAAGTGGGCATGCTTGCATAGAGATGTGAAGTAAGGGTTCAGTTCTCTAATCAAAGTGAGCAGGAAACACAAAGATGGAGTAAGTGATGGAACAGTGGGAAGAGAGGTCTGAGAGTCAGGCCAGGGTCCATATCACATAGGGTTTTGACTGTCATTGTGAGGAATGTGGGAAGTTCTCCAAGAGTTATTTATTTATTTTTAATTAATACCCAATATTTTTACATATTTATGGGATACATGTTATGTTTTGTTATATGCATAGAATGTGTAATGATCAACTGTCATGGTATTTGAGATATCTATCCAATCTACCAGAGGAATATTTATCATTTCTATGTGATAGGAACATTTCAAGTCTTCTTCTAGCTATTTTAAAATATACAATACATTGTTGTTAATTATAGTCACTCTACTCTGTTAATGAACATTAGAAGTGATTCCTTCTATTTAACTGTGTATTTGTAACATTGACCAACCCCTCTTCATCCCTTACCCCTCACCCACAAATCCTTCCCAGCCTCTGGTTTCTATCATTCTATTCTCTACCTCTGTGAGATCATCTTTTTTTAGCCCCCAGATATGAATGAGAACATGTGATATTTGTTTTTCTGACCTCCGGTTTCCCTCCATATTGCTGCAAATGACATGATTTCATTTTTTTAATGTCTAATATATACACAATAGTATTCCATTGTATATATCACATTTACTTTGTCTGTTTTCTGTTGGTGGACACTTAGATTGAATCCGTACCTTTGGTATTATGAGTAGTGCTACAATAATCATACAAGTACAGGTATCATTTTGATATACTGATTTCTCTTCCTTTGGATTAATAACCAGTAGTGGGATTGTTGGATCATATGGTAGTTCTATTTTTAGTTTTTTGAGAAATCTGCATGCTGTTTTCCATAGTGATTGTACTAATTTACATCCCACCAACAGTATATAAGAGTTCCCTTTTTCCCTCATATATATGTTATTTTTTATCTTTTAAATTGTAGCCATTCTGACTGGGGTAAGATGATATTTCATTGTGATTTTGATTTGCATTTCTCCCTGATGAATAGTGGTGTTGAGCATTTTATCATATTCTCTTGACTCTTTGTTTGTCTTCTTTTGAGTAATGTTTATTCATATCATTTGCCCACTTTTAAATTGAAGTTTTTTTGCTATTATTTGATTTCCTTGTATATTCTAGATATTAGTCCTTTGTCAGAGAAATAGTTTGCAAATAATTTCACTCATTTGTCTATTCATTCTGTATATAGTTTCCTTTGCTGTGCAGAAGCTTTTTAGTTTAATATAGTCCCATTTGTCTATTTTTGGTTTTGTTGCCTATGCTTTTGCAGTCTTAACCATAAAATTTTTGCCTAGACCAATGTCCTGAAGCATTTCCTTTATGTTTTCTTTTAGTAGTTTTATAGTTGAGTATTATACTTAAGTAAAGTTGAGCTATAGTTTATAGTTGAGTTTTATAGTTGAGTCTTACCCTTAAGTCTTTAATCAATTTTCAGTTAGTTTTTGTATGTGGAGAGAGATTGAGTCTAGTTTCATTCTTTTGCATATAGATATCCAATTTTCCCATCACCATTTATTATTTTCTAACTTTATTTTAGGTTCAAGGACTACAAATATGGGTTTGCTATATAGATAATTTGTATGTTGTGGATATTTGGTGTACATATTATTTCATCACTGAGGTAATAAGCATAGAAGTTTTTGGATCTTTGTCCTCCTTCCACCTTTCATTCCTCAAGTAGGCCCTGATGTCCATTGTTACATTCTTTGTGTTCATGCGTACTCTGTTTAGCTACCATTTGGAAGTAAGAACATGCATTATTTGGTTTTCTGTTTCTTCATTAATTTGCTTAAGATAATGGCCTCCAGCTCCATCCATGCTGCTGCAGAGGATATGATCTTGTTCTTTTTCATGGCTGCATAGTATTCCTTGGTGTATGTGTATCACATTTTCTCTATCCAGTTAGCTATTGGTGGACATTTAAGTTGATTCCTTGTCTTTGCTATTGTGATTAGTACTGTGATGAATATATGTCTCCATGTGTCTTTTTTTTTTCTTGTTACTTCACTAGCAGGAAGCATGTGTCTTATATTAGAATGATTTTCCTTTTTTTGTTTCTTCCTTGTGTGATTTTGCTTTCATGGTAATGCTGGCCTCATAGAATGAGTTAAGAATTCCCTCATCTTCAATTGTTTTTGGAATAGTTTGAGGAGAATTGGTGTTAGTTCTTTGAGAGTTCAGTAGATTAAATTCAGCAATGAAGTCACTGGTCCTGAACTTTTCTTTGTTGGAGGACATTTTATTACTGATTCAATCTCATTACTCATTATTGGTCTTTTCAGTTTTCCTATTTCTTCCTGATTTAGTCTTGGTAGGTACTGTATGTCCAGGACTTACACATTTCCTCAGGATTTTCCAGCTTCTTAGTGCATAGTTGTTCTTAGTAGACCCTGGTGATCTTTTTTATTTCTCTGGTGTCAGTGGTAAAATCTCCATTTTTCTTTCTGATTTTATTTCTTCTCTCTTTTCTTCTTGGTTAGTCTAGCTAGTGGTTAATTAATTTTATCCATGGTTTTTAAAAACTGCTTTTCATTTCATTTCTCTTCTCTGTTGTTTAGCCTGCATTTTATTTAGTTCTGCTTTGATATTTCTTTCTAGTAATTTTAGGTTTGGTTTGTTCTTGCTCTTGTAGTTCCTTGAAATGCATCATTAGGTTGTTTATTTGAAATCTTTCTACTTTTTGACATAGGCATTTATTGCCATAAACTTTCCTCTTAGCAATGCTTTTACTGTACCCCATAGGTATAGGTTTTGGTATGTTGCATTTTGATTTTCATTTGTTTTAAAAATTTTTTTATTTTCTCCTTAATTTCTTCCTTGACCCAGTGGTTATGTAGGAGCATGTTGTTTAATTTCTGTGTAATGTATAGTTTCCAAAGTTTCTCTTGTTAAATGATTTCTAGTTTGATCCATGTCTGAGAAAAGATGATATAATTTTGGTTTTTAAAAATTTGTTAAGACTTGTTTTGTGTTTTAACATATGGTCTCACTAGAGTACATTATCTTTGCTAATTAGAAGAATGTGTGTTCTGTAGCTGTTTGATAAAATGTTCAGTAAATGTCTGTTAGGCCCATTTGGTCTAATGTACAGTTTAAATCCAATATTGGCCGGGTGCGGTGGCTCAAGCCTGTAATCCCAGCACTTTGGGAGGCTGAGGTGGGTGGATCACGAGGTCAAGAGATCGAGACCATCCTGGTCAACATGGTGAAACCCCGTCTCTACTAAAAATACAAAAAATTAGCTGGGCACGGTGGCGCGTGCCTGTAATCCCAGCTACTCAGGAGGCTGAGGCAGGAGAATTGCCTGAACCCAGGAGGCGGAGGTTGCGGTGAGCCGAAATCGCGCCATTGCACTCCAGCCTGGGTAACAAGAGCGAAACTCTGTCTCAAAATCAATCAATCAATCAATCCAATGTTTCCTTGTTAATTTTCTGTCTAGATGATCGAATTCTGAGAGTGGGTCATTGAAGTCCCCAATGATTATTGTTCTGGAATATATATCTGTCTTTTGATCTAATAACATTTGCCTTATATATCTGGATGTTCAGGTGTTTGGATTATATGTTTAAAATTTTTATATCTTCTTGTTGAGTTGATATTTTTATCATTATATGATGACCTTCTTTATCTCTTCTTGCTGTTTTTGACTTAAAATCTGTTTTTTTTTTCTGATATAAAAGATAGCTATTCCAACACACTTTTGGTTTCCATTTGCGTGGAGTATCTTTTCTTGTTCCTTTACTCTCAACCCGTATGTGTCTTTACCAATGAGTTTTCTTGTAGGCAGCTTATAGTTGGGTCATGTTTTTTCATCCATTCAGCCAGTCTGTATCTTTTAAATGAAAAGTTTAATCCATTGACATTCAATGTGATTACTGAGATGTATGTGAGGGCTGATTCTTACTATTTTATTAATTGATTCCTACTTGTTTTGTATAGCCTTTGCGTCTTTATTTTTTATCATTGTGGTTTGGTTGTTTTCTGTAGGGATAACATTTGAGTCCTTTCTCCTTATTTGTATGTTTGTTGTGTCCGTGGGTTTTATACTTTTATGTGTTTTCATAATGGTAGATATTGTCCTTTCACTTCTAGGTGTAGGACTATTAAGCATATCTTGTAGGGCTGGTCCAGTGATGATGAATTCCCTCACCTTTTGCTGTCTCGGAAAGACTATTTCTTCTTCATTTATGTTGAATACTCTGCTGAGGATAGTATCCTTGACTGACAATTTCTTCTTTCAGCACTGAATATAAAATCTCATTCTATCTCATTTCTCTCTGTTGAGAAATCTGCTATTAGGCTGATGAGAGTTCCCTTATAAGTGACTAGATGCTTTTCTTTTGCTGTTTTTAGTATTCTCCTTTGTCTTTGAGTTTTATATTTTGACCATAATGTGCCATGGAGAAGACCTTTTTGTGTTGTATCTATTTGAGTATCTCTGAGCTTCCTGTATCAGGATGTATGCATCTCTTACTAGAGTTGGAAAGTTTCCTGCTATTATTTCCTTAATAGATTTTCAATCCTTTATGTTTTATCTTTGTCTCTAGGACCTTGGAAATTCAAATATTTTGTTGTTTTATGATGTCTCATATGTCACAGAGGCTTTATCCATTCATTCAGATGTTCTGAGGAAAACATTTATCCTGAGGCTTAAAAGATGAGTTAGGGGCCAGGTGTAGTGACTCACGTCTGTAATTCCAGCACTTTGGGAGGCTGAGGTGGGTGGATCCAATGTCAGGAGTTTGAAACCAGCATAGCCAATGTGGTGAACCCTGTCTCTACTAAAAATACAAAAATTAGCTAGGCTTTGTGGCAGGCAGCTGTAGTCCCAGCTACTTGGGAGGCTGAGGCAGGACAATCGCTTGAACCCAGGAGGTAGTGGTTGTAGTGAGCTGAGATCATGCCACTGCACTGTAGCCAGGCAACAGATGAATTGTATGTTTGTTACAAAGAGTCAGGCCAGAGAGTTCTTGGAAGATGAAACAGTCTAAGCAAGGAAGAAGATAAGAGAAAAGTTATATCATGTTCTGGTTGCTAAAAGGAGGCAGTGGGTAGAGATCAGTCATAAAGGAGAACAGTGCCCTGATAGGAAGTTTTGTTCTCTGTGTTAAGGATTTGGATTTTATTTTCAGAGTAAAGATAAACCATTCAAAACCAGTTTTAAGTATGATTTGTAAACTTTGATCTGAATCAGAATCATCTGATAGAGATATTAAAAATACAGCTTTGACTGGGTGTGATGGCTCCCACTGGTGACCTCAGCATGTTGAGAGATTGAGCCAGGAGGATTGCTTGATGCCAGGAGTTCAAGACTAGCTTGGGTAACATGGCAGGACACCATCTCTACATAGTAAAAATAAAAAATAAAAATAAAATAAAAATTGGCCAGACTTTGGACTGCAGGAAGACTAAAGAAAAAGAAAAAGAAATTGTCCAGACATGATGGCATGTGCCTGTTGCTGTAGCCACTTGGGAGGCTTAGGCAGGAGGATTGCTTGATTCTGGGAGTTTGAGGCTGCAGTGAGCTATGATCATACCACTGCACTATAGCTTGTATAACAGAGAAACCCTGTCTCTTAAAAAAAAATACAGGCCATGTGCAGTGGCTCACGCCTGTAATCCCAACACTATGAGAGGCCAGGGCAGGTGGGTCACCTGATGTCAGGAGTTCCTGACCAGCCTGGCCAACATGGTGAAAGCCCATCTTTTCTAAAAATATAAAAATTAGCTGGGCATGGTGGCAGATGCCTATAATCCCAGCTACTCAGGAGGCTTAGGCAGGAAAATCACTTTAACTTGGGAGGTGGAGGTTGCAGCGAGCTGCGACCATGCCATTGCACTGCAGCCTGGGCGACAAGAGTGAAACGCCCTGTCAAAAAAAAAAATACAGCTTCTCTAGTTAAAAATTCTGATTCTGTACATCTGAGTTGCTTGAATATCAATATCTGTAATAAGCTTACCAAATGGTTTTGATTCGCACCTAAATTTCACAAAGTAAACCTTTCCCTTATGCACACCACCATCTTACCTAAACTTTCTTCATTACTGGCACCCTTTTTATTTTTCAGGTCCATGAAAGTATTATTTATTTTCCTTAGGCCTTTTGTTTAATGGATTTTGTATGCATGTGTGTTATAGGAAAATAAACTATGTTTGCTTTCTTCATTTCTTTCAGATTTGGAGTCAAAATGTGGACCTGAGAAAATATCTCTGGAAAATGATATTTCTGAAATAAATTTACCAAAACAGTTTATAAAGCAAATAAGTAAAACACTTGGCCTTGAGGCCTTTTATTTTAGAAATGTCTCAGAATATAGAAGTAGATTTGAGGGACTACAGGGACTTCAAGAAGGATATATCAATATCAATCAGAAGGTGATCAACTATGAAGAAATGCCTACTTATCCTCATGCTTCTCTTATTCACAATACACATAAACCATATGAATGTAAGGAATGTGGGAAATACTTTAGTTGTGGTTCACATCTTATTCAGCATCAGAGTATTCATACTGGAGAGAAACCCTATAAATGTAAAGAATGTGGGAAAGCCTTTCAACTTCACATACAACTTACTCGACATCAGAAATCTCATACTGGTGAGAAACCTTTTGAATGTAAGGAATGTGGAAAAGCCTTTAATCTTCTCACTCTGCTTAACCGCCATAAGAACATTCACACAGGTGAGAAACTGTTTGAATGTAAGGAATGTGGGAAGTCCTTTAATCGTAGCTCAAACCTTACTCAGCATGAAAGTATTCATGCTGGTGTAAAACCTTATCAGTGTAAGGAGTGTGGGAAAGCCTTTAATCGTGGTTCAAATCTTATTCAGCATCAGAAAATTCATTCCAATGAGAAACCCTTTGTATGTAGGGAATGTGCGATGGCCTTTCGATATCAGTACCAACTTATTGAACATTGCCAAATTCATACAGGTGAGAAACCCTTTGAATGTAAAGAATGCAGGAAGGTCTTTACTCTTCTGACAAAGCTTGTCCGACATCAGAAGATTCATACAGGTGAGAAGCCCTTTGAATGTAGAGAATGTGGAAAGGCCTTTACTCTTCTCAACCAGCTCAATCGCCATAAGAACATTCACACAGGTGAAAAACCATTTAAATGTAATGAATGTGGGAAGTCCTTCAACCGTAGCTCAAATCTTATCCAACATCAGAATATTCATGCTGGTGTAAAACCATATGAATGTAAGGAGTGTGGGAAAGGCTTTACTCGTGGTGCAAATCTTATTCAGCATCAAAAAATTCATTCCAATGAGAAACCCTTTGTATGTAGGGAATGTGAGATGGCCTTTAGATATCATTACCAACTTATTCAACATTGCCAAATTCATACTGGTGGGAAGCCCTTTGAATGTAAAGAATGTGGAAAGGCCTTTAGTCTTCTGACACAGCTTGCTCGACATAAGAACATTCATACTGGTGAGAAACCATTTGAATGTAAAGACTGTGGGAAGGCCTTTAATTGTGGCTCAAACCTTGTTCAACATCAGAGTATTCACACAGGTGAGAAGCCCTATAAATGTAAGGAGTGTGGGAAGGCTTTTAGACTTCACCTACAACTTTCTCACCATCAGAAAACGCATACAGGCGAGAAACCCTTTGAATGTAAGTGTTAGGTAGAAACTCACTACCCGCACCCTACCCCCAGACTTCCTTCCCAAAAACAACCCCAGTGAGTCACTCTGCCCGGACCCTACCCGTAGACTTCCTGCATTCTACCAACGCACTCAACCCTTAAGCCTCCCGCCTGTCTGAACTTTGCCTGACCTCTACAGAAAGGACCCGCATGGCCCACCCTACTCTGCCCAGTAATTACATTCAGTCGCCTGGAGACAATCAGTCCACCTCAAGCCTCCACGATGACCTCATCAGCTCTGTGTCAGCCCTTTGTTCCTTTTCCTATAAAAGCCTTTCTACTTCAGCTGCGCAGTTGCAGCCAGCCCCAGCCTCCTTCCTCTCTGGCCTGCCCGCTGATCCCAATAAACCTGAACTCAGCCTTCAACTCTCGAGCTGTTATTTGGGATTGAGTATCGGGCAGAGGGGCTACACGGGGTCGCACATTTGGTGCCGAAACCCGGGAGTGAGGGTCGTCAGCCTCCCTGGCGACCCCCTCCCTCCAGCGACCTCGCCAGACCCCCTTCGATTCGACCTCAGCACTCCGGATAAGGTAAGCCCTTTTCTTGCCTTTTCCCTTCCGTGGCGTGTGTGACAGGGAACTCCCTCTCCTCAGCCCCCGCACCAGAGGTCTTTCGGCATCCGGCCGGCCCGTTAGACCTCCCCGCCAGGCTCCAGGAGCCTTGGGTCGGCAGACAAGGGACGCCTTCTCTGACCACCCAATCCGAATTACTAAATAGGAACGATCAGACGAGGGACGCCTTTTCTGGTCCTTCCTATCCGCTCTCCTCTGGAGTAGCTAGTGGGCGGCAGGGACGCCTCCTCCCACACTACCTCAGCCCACTCGGATACTGTTCCGAGCTCGGATCCTGTTCCGAGTCTACCCCTGGCTAGTAGGACGGGAATCCTTCGCTGCACACGCCATGGGAAATACGGAGTCCAAAATTCCAAAAAGCACTCCGTTAGGCTGTCTGTTACTCAATTTTGATCGCCTAGGCTACTCCCAAACTCTTAAACGGAAAAAGCTTGTTTTTCTCTCCCAAGTAGCCTGGCCCCAATATCAGCTCGACAATAAGTCGCATTGGCCTCCCACCGGCACTTTCGATTTTAACGTGCTCCGCGACTTAGATAGCTTCTGCCGCCGAACTGGCAAAGATAAAGAAGTGCCTTATGTTCAGGCTTTTTGGGATTTGCGTTCCCACCCTGACCTCTGTTCCTCTTGCTCCACTCACCAAGTTCTTTTAGCCCGAACTCCTCCACCGCAGACTCCTACCTCCTCAACCAAACCCCCTCCCTATACTCTACAAGAAGAAATGCCTGACCATCTGTCTTCCCCTTTTGTCTCCACTCCAGAAGTTCTCAACCCACCTAACCCCCTCCCTTCTATGCCTCCCCCTACTGAGCCTACCTCCCCTTCACCATCTACACCTTCTGCTCCCCCAAACATTCTTCCCTCCTCCTCTCCCGTAGCGGCTCACACTCGTGCCAAAACACCGACCCTCCCCCCGGTAGTGGCGCCACTACGGGAAGTGGCCGGAGCGGAAGGCCTTGTTAGAGTTCATGTCCCTTTTTCTCTCCAAGACCTCGCTCAAATAGAACGCCGCCTAGGGTCCTTTTCAGCTGATCCTTCCACTTACATTAGGGAATTTCAGTATCTCACCCAAGCCTATAGTCTCACTTGGCAAGACATTCGCATCATCTGTACATCTACCCTTTCTGCCGAGGAGTACGAGCGCGTCCTAGCGGCAGCCAGACATCAAGCCGATAGGGATCATGCCATAAATCCAAACCAAGTCCCAGTAGGAACGGCAGTCATCCCCACCACAGACCCCCAATGGGTGTATCAGGATGGTGCCGGCTCTAATATCCCAGCCCGAGACCGCATGCTTCAATACTTATTACGTGGGTTAGAGACTGTATCCAACAAAGTAGTTAACTATGATAAGTTACGAGAGATCACACAAAAGCCAGATGAAAACCCCGCTCTTTTTCTTAATCGCCTTCAAGAAGCCCTTGTCCGCTATACCCGACTAGACCCAGCTTCCCAAAACGGGGCTACCATCTTAGCTTCCCACTTCATTTCCCAATCTGCCCCTGACATTCGGAAAAAACTTAAAAAGGCCGAGGACGGCCCAGAGACTCCCATTCAAGACTTGGTGAAAATGGCCTTTAAAGTCTTTAATGCCAGGGAAGATGCAGCTGAGGTTGCCCGCCAAACTCGTTTGAAGCAAAAAGTTGCAATGCAAGCCCAGGCCTTAGCAGCGGCTCAGACCCAGGCCTTAGTGGCAGCCCTACGGCCGGCTGGAGCCAAGGGATCGAAAAGTGGCCCCAAGCCTCCTCCAGGGGCGTGTTATAAGTGCGGCAAGGAAGGACACTGGGCCGCCCGTTGTCCACAGCCACGACCACCCGCCAGACCCTGTCCTATTTGTCGGCTCAGTGGTCACTGGAAGTCGGAGTGTCCCCAGGGATCCAGGGCCCCGGTCAACACGAGCCGAGGAACTGAACCAAGGGGTCCCTCCTCAGAAAGTCAAGCTCTTGACGTCTCCACTCAGGAGCCCGGCTCTTCTGACCACCTATATCCCGTTCCTTCGAGCCAGAAGGACCTATACCCTGAGCTTTTAGGACTGCTGGACGATTAGGGAGGCCCAGGCTCGTCGACCCCAGTGACCCTTGCCGAGCCTAGGGTATTGCTTCAGGTAGCGGGACAAAGCATTTCCTTTTTGCTCGATACGGGGGCTACCTACTCTGTACTTCCCTCCTTTCCAGGACAAACTATACCTTCCCAGGTCTCTGTTGTGGGGGTCGACAGGGTCGCCCACGCGCCACGACAAACCCCACCGCTCACTTGTATATATAACTCTGTCCCATTCAGCCACTCTTTCCTTATTATCCCTTCTTGTCCCGTACCTCTACTAGGACGAGACATTCTTACCAAACTCAAAGCCCACATCACTTTCCCTTCCTCTCCTCCACACCTCCTATTAGTTGCCCACCACTTTAGCTCTGACTCAGACTGTGTCTCCCCAGACATTCACCTCCCAAAAGTACATCCTAAGGTATGGGAGACAGATATACCTGTAGTGGCTACACACCATCAGCCAGTTAAAATTCAGCTCCAGGACCAATCCCCCCGATTTCTTTGTCAACCCCAGTTTCCTATCTCGAAGAAACACCGCCTAGGGCTCCGCCCTATCATTGAAAAACTAAAATGTTGTGGTCTCCTAGTACCTACCAATTCCCCGTGTAACACTCCCATCCTTCCAGTCCGAAAACCCTCAGGAGAATACCGCCTAGTCCAAGATCTCCGATTAGTCAATGCTGCTGTAGTCCCCATACATCCAGTAGTTCCAAACCCATACACCCTACTCTCCAGAATCCCCTCCAACACTACCTTCTTCTCAGTCCTTGACCTCAAAGATGCCTTTTTCACCATTCCCTTACACCCAGATTCCTATTTTATCTTCGCCTTCACCTGGGAAGACCCCCTTACTGACAACTCCTGTCAGCTCACCTGGACAGTCCTACCCCAAGGCTTCAGGGATAGCCCTCACCTGTTCGGTCAGGCTCTGGCAACAGACCTTCTAAGCTGCCACTTAGCCCCATCTGTTGTTCTTCAGTATGTTGATGACCTACTCGTCTGTTCCCCCAGCCAGGAAGAGTGCACCCGAGCCACTACAGTACTACTCAACTTTTTAGGAGACAAGGGGTATAGAGTTTCAAGGAAAAAGGCCCAACTCGTTACCTCATCAGTCATTTACTTAGGCCTGCAGCTTTCCCCGGGGAAGAAATCCATTATCCCCGACCGACTGCAGGCTCTAAAATCCCTCCAACCTCCTCAGTCTGCCACTGAAATACTCTCCTTTTTGGGAGTAGTGGGATTTTTTCGGCACTGGGTACCCAACTTTGCCCTTCTGGCCAAACCACTCTACCAAGCCGCTGCAGATACTCCTGAAGGTCCACTTACTTCACAGGGAACAGTGACTCAAGCCTTCCACACACTCCTACAAACGCTATGTGCTTCCACCTCTCTTGCCCTACCCAATCCTAATCTTCCTTTTCACTTGTATACCGATGAGAAGGCCCACATCGCAGTTGGAGTCCTAACTCAACCAGTTAGCAACACCCTCCTTCCACTAGCCTACCTTTCCAAACAACTCAGTCCCACGGAAAAGGGTTGGCCTCCTTGCCTCCGAGCCTTAGCAGCAGCCGCCACACTTACAACGGAAGCCCTTAAAATTAATCTCCAGCAACCACTCACAGTATTCTCCCCCCACAGATTGCAGGAACTCGTGTCTAGTCAGGCTTTACCTCACCTTGGGCCATCTAAAATACAGCTCCTGCACCTTCTGTTCCTGGAGAATCCAGACATTTCTCTCTCCCACTGTTCCGCTCTTAACCCAGCTACCCTTTTCCCTTCGCCAACCATTCCAACACAGAATCACCGATGCCTCGAGGTTATCATTGAAACTCAATCTCCATGGCCTGACCTACACTCCACCCCCATCCAGGCCGAAGCAACACTTTTTGTAGATGGGAGTTCCTTCCTACGCCCAGGGAAACCCCGTATTGCTGGATATGCAATAGTAACTCCTTCAGACGTCATTGAGACACATTCCCTCCCTTTGGGAACCACCTCACAACAGGCTGAGTTAGTCGCCCTTACCCGGGCTCTCAAGTGGGCCAAAGACAAAACTGTCAACATCTACACAGACTCAAAGTATGCCTTCCTTATTGCCCACTCCCATTGTATGATCTGGAAGGAGAGAGGATTCTTAACCACTAAAGGCACCCCGGTAGTTAACGGGAGACTCATAGCTGATCTCATCTCTGCCATCCAGCTCCCAAAGCAGGTTGCCATCATTCACTGCCGGGGACATCAAACCTCAGGGTCCCTAGTAGCCCTAGGTAATGCTTTTGCAGACAGGACAGCCAGGGAGACGGCGCGAACCTGCCCACCCCCAAAAGAAATCTACTTCCTGTCACACTGCTACAAACCTCAGTACTCCGACTCTGAGCTCAAACTTTTACAGCAAAACCCTGGAGTGACCTTCAGAGACGGATGGGCCTTCAATCACAACCTTCTGATACTACCTCAAGCACAAAAGGCTGCCATCATAAAAGACATCCACGATTCCCTACATATCGGGCCAAAAGCCCTGCTCCACTTCCTCCTACCCATATTACACCCAGAAGGACTTTCTTCCCTTATTCACCAGGTCCACGCTCAGTGCCTCACTTGTGCAAAAACCAACCCCCAAGGAGCCCGTCACCTCCGCCAACGGCTCCACCAGCTGCGCGGATCTTTGCCAGGACAAGATTAGCAAGTTGATTTTACTCACATGCCAAAACATAAACGGTTCCGGTTCTTGTTAACCATTGTTGATACTTTTTCAGGCTGGATTGAAGCTTTTCCTACCACCTCCGAGTCTGCCGACACCGTTGCCGCCCATCTCATCCGAGACATCATCCCTCGGTTCGGGCTGCCAGCCACTATACAGTCAGACAACGGCCCGGCCTTTGTCTCCAAAGTTACTAATGCTGTCTGTACTTCCCTAGGAATTCAGTGGAGACTACATGCAGCCTACCACCCCCAGTCGTCGGGTAAAGTAGAACGGGCAAACGGACTCATCAAAGAGCAGCTTACCAAACTCTCTCTCGAACTTAAACAATCGTGGGTCTCCTTACTACCGTTAGCCCTCACCCGATTGCGAGCCCGCCCTCGGGGGTCCTCACAACTCAGCCCATTCGAGCTCTTATACGGGCGACCTTTCCTGCTTTCCACCCCACCCCCTCCAGAAAATTCCCCTCTAAGCACTTATCTTCCCTACTTTACTCTTCTTAGACACTTACTTAGAGAACATGCCAATGCTTCCATACCCCAGACTTCAGTAATTCCACCAAACCAGAAGACAGTCGCCCCTGGTGACTCTGTCCTTATTAAGACCCTCACCCCAAAACCCCTCTCACCCCGCTGGGAGGGGCCCTACACCATCATTTTAGCCACCCCCACGGCCATCAAAGTTGCTCAGATTCCCTCTTGGGTTCATCTCTCCAGAGTCAAGAAGTATCCTAATGGCTCTGCCAGTCCCCGCTGGGAGTGTGTTCCTACTGGTCCTCTGTCACTTAAGCTTTTTAAGACCTGACTTATCCCTAGCTAACCCACAGTATGTCTGGAGATTTTTTCTTACTGAAAATTACACCAAAAACACTGGAATTTGTGAAACCCCTCCTTATTCCCATAACCGCCTGCTGACCACTACCGACTGCCCCGTCACCGGGTGCACGTTCCCCATCCAACTCAATTTCTCCGCCTTCAATAACGTCCACAGTACTCACCCATTGCTGTGCTTTAACTACAAACAACCAGGTCAATGTAAAGTCTCCACATGGCACTCTTGTATGGGATGTGTCTGGAAGTCCTGTAAGTATGACTCCACTTTCAACGAAGGCGAGCAAAAGAACCATTTCCCTTCTCTCATTGAAAAGACCACCAAATTCGACTCAGAAGGTAACCCTACTACAGAAACCCAATTCACTCTAACTATTCCAGATCCAAGAGACCAAAGGTGGCTGTCGCCCCAAAAAGCCTCAGTCTATGAGACTAACACCGACAGCTACCCGTCTTCACACCTGTACATCTGGCGGGCATATGTCCTTACCTCACCAGAAATTCACAACACAATCCAAATACAAGAAACCACACTAAAAACTAAGTTAGCCCCCTTTTCATGGCTAACCCTTATGAGAGAAGGCCTAAAACTTGCTAATCACACTGGGCTCACCGACTTAATCTCCTGCCTCTTGTGTGCTACTCTTGGGCAAACTCCTTTAGTCGCAGTCCCAACCATGTTCTCTGCAAACCAAACCACTGAAACAAGCCAATGCCCTCCTCCCATTCCAGACGTCCCACTCTTCTATTTCGACACTTCCTCCTTTCCAATGTGCTATTCTTTACAGAACCTAGACCCTACTTGCAACAAAACCCTTCAACTCTCAACTAATCTAACAGCTCCCCACGGTTTCTACTTCTGGTGCAATGGCACCCTCTCCAAACTCCTAACCCTATCCGACCTCAAAGAACATTCCCGCTGCCTCCCTGTCACCTTAGTCCCACGCCTCACTGTCTATTCACCAGCTGAATTTCTTATGAAACACACTACTACCACCCATACCTACTCCAGCCCTCACCGTCAACGACGAGCTGTTTTCCTTCCCATAGTAATCGGGCTCTCCCTCGCAGGATCCGCTGCCGCTATAGGCCTAGGAACAGGAGCTTTAGTTAATAATAATCAAGCTATAACTCGCCTTTCCTTGCAGCTACAAGCAGCAATTGATGACTCTGCTGCCTCCCTAGCATCTCTCCAATGACAGGTCACTTCGGTAGCCCAGGTAGCCCTACAAAACCGACGGGCTCTAGACCTGCTGACAGCTGGACAAGGAGGAACCTGCATCTTCCTACAGGAAAAATGTTGCTACTATATCAATGAATCCGGAACAGTAGAAACCCGCATCGAAAAGCTCCAGAAAATCAAGACAGAACTACAAAGTCATCAGTTTACCACTGAAGCCACCACATGGTGGTCATCGTCCATGTACTCTCTCCTATCCCCTTTAGTAGCGCCTCTGATGATCATATGTCTTTTCTTACTTCTCGCTCCTTGTTTCTTTCAGTTTCTACAACGCCGTTTTCAAGAACTCACTCGAGTCACAATCAACCAAATGATGCTACAACCAGTTCTCAGCCATCCCAACTACACTTATCACCCCCTACCAACTTCCCAGACTCCTTAAAAGAACCCCCACTTCGCCCCTGTCCAGCAGGAAGTAGTCAGAACGACTCCGCCGCCCCTTTGTCCTTTTTTAAGGAGTCGGGAATGTTAGGTAGAAACTCACTACCCGCACCCTACCCCCAGACTTCCTTCCCAAAAACAACCCCAGTGAGTCACTCTGCCCGGACCCTACCCGTAGACTTCCTGCATTCTACCAACGCACTCAACCCTTAAGCCTCCCGCCTGTCTGAACTTTGCCTGACCTCTACAGAAAGGACCCGCATGGCCCACCCTACTCTGCCCAGTAATTACATTCAGTCGCCTGGAGACAATCAGTCCACCTCAAGCCTCCACGATGACCTCATCAGCTCTGTGTCAGCCCTTTGTTCCTTTTCCTATAAAAGCCTTTCTACTTCAGCTGCGCAGTTGCAGCCAGCCCCAGCCTCCTTCCTCTCTGGCCTGCCCGCTGATCCCAATAAACCTGAACTCAGCCTTCAACTCTCGAGCTGTTATTTGGGATTGAGTATCGGGCAGAGGGGCTACACGGGGTCGCACAGTAAGGAATGTGGGAAATATTTTCGTCGTGGTTCAAATCTTAATCAACATCGAAGTATTCATATTGGAAAGAAACCCTTTGAGTGTAAGAAATGTGGGAAAGCCTTTCGACTTCATATGCACCTTATTCGACACCAGAAATTTCATACTGGTGAGAAACCCTTTGAATGTAAGGACTGTGGCAAGGCCTTCAGTCTTCCCATCCAGCTTAATCGCCATAAGAAAATTCACTCAGGTGGGAAGCCATTTGAATATAAGGAATGCGGGAAGTCCTTTGTGTCTTGAACCTTGTTCAACATCAGAGTATTCATGCTGGTGTAAAACCATATGAATGTAAGGAGTGTGGGAAAGACTTTAATCATGGTTCAAACCTTATTCAGCATCAGAAAATTCATTCCAGTGAGAAACCCTTTGTATGTAAGGAGTGTCGGAAGACCTTTAGATATCATTACCAACTTATTGAACATTGCCAAATTCATACTGGTGAGAAACCCTTTGAATGTAAAGAATGTGGAAAGGCCTTTAGTCTTCCGACACAGCTTGCTCAACATCAGATCATTCATACTGGTGAGAAGCCATTTAAATGTAAGGAGTGTGGGAAGGCCTTCAATTTTGGCTCAAACCTTGTTCAATATCAGAGTATTCATACTGATGAGAAACCCTATGAATGTAAGGAGTGTGGGAAGGCTTTTAGACTTCACCTACAACTTTCTTGGCATCAAAAACTCATACAAGTGAGAAACTCTTTGAATGTAAGAAATATGGGACAACCTTCAGATATCAGTACCAACTTACTGAACATTAGAAAATTCATACTAGGGTGAAAGCCTTTGAATGTAAGGAATGTGGGAAGACCTTTTGATATCATTATCAATTCCTTGAACATTATGGAATTCATACTGGTGAGAACCCTTATGAATGTCAAGAATGTGGGAAATGCTTTACCAGTGGTAGAAACCTTGTACCTCAGAGAATTCATACTGGTGAGAAAGCATATCAATGTGAAGAATGTGGGAAAGCCTTTAGTCATAGTTCAAATCTTGTTCAACATGTTAAAATTCATACTGATGAGAAACCCTATGAATGTAAGGAATGTGAAAAGGGCTTTAGTAGTAATTGTGAACTTACTGTACATCTAAGAATCCATATTGCTGAGAAACCCTGTGAACGTAAGGAATGTGGAAAAACTTTTAGATTTAGCTCAGTCTTTACTGCACATTAAAGAATTTAAACTAGTATAAACCCTATGAATGTAAAGAATGTGGAAAGACCTTTAGTTGTAGCTCGAGCGTTGTTCAACATGTTAAAATTCATACTGGTGAGCAACCCTGTGAATGTGAATGTAAAGGATGTGGGAAGACCTTTAGACTTAGTTCAGTCCTTTCTGCACATCACAGAATTCATACTGGTGTGAAACCCTATGAATGTAAGGAATGTGGGCAAGGCTACTGTGAATGGTCAGCTTATTCGACATCAGAAAATTCATAATAGTTAGAAGTTTTGCGAATATAAGGAGTGTGGACAAGCCTCCGCTGTGTATGAAAAATTTACTCAACACCAGAGAATTCATATTAATGAGAATCCTGTGAACATAAAAGCATGTGTGAGGAACTTTCGTCATGGTCTGGGATTTGCTGAACATCAGAGTATTCATACTGCTGAGAAATCTTTTGAGTTTAAGAATGTGGGATGTTGTATAGCCACACTAAATGCCTTAGAGTTCAAAGAAAGTAATTTTGGTGAGAAAGTTATTGACGTGATGAACGTAGAGTACCTGCCATGTTCACAGTTTACTGCCTATGAAGTGTTTTACTGGATTCAGGCATACCTTGCTTAATTGTTCATTGTAGCTATTGCGTTTTATACACATTGAAGGTTTGCAGCAACCCTGCAGTGAATAAATCAATCAGCACCATTTTCCAAACAGCATGTGCATATCTTGTGTTTTTGTGTCACACTTTGGTAGTTTTCATAACATTTCAAACTTTTTCATTGTTATATCTGTTATGGTGATCTATGACCAGTGTTTTTTGATGTTACTAGTGTGATTGTTTTGGGATACCACAAATCCTGCCCATAAAAGATGGTGAACCTAGTTGACAATTGTTGCAGATTTTGAAAGATAGTAAAATATACACCCATATACCCCCACTTAGATTCAAAATTGTTAACGTTTATTTTTTGTATATTTGTTGTACCATGGAGAATAAATTTTAGACATCATCATACTTTAACCCTTATTACATCAGCATGTGTATTACCCAAACATAAAGACAATGTCATATAGCCATAGTACCATAATTACCCTTAAGGATAAGATCCATAATTCTGTAATATCATTCTATCTTTAGATGTCTTCATCGGCCTGCAAACCATCTTTTACAGCTATTCATTTTCTAAGGAGAATCCATTGCAGATTCTGCATTGCATTTGGTTATCTCTCTTTAGTGTATTGTAGCCTGGAAACCACATGAATGTATGGTCTCGAATTATAGTGGGTATCAGAATCACCTGTGGAACTTAGTAAAACTATAGAAGTGTAATCCTTACCTTATAAGCCTGGGCCTCTGTGTTTTTATATTATTTCTCCAGGTGATTGTGATACTAACTAGAGTTAGAGAGCCACTGGTCTAGAACATTTCTCCTCATTTTTAAAAAAAAATGACATTGAATTTTGAGTAGTCCAGAAATGTTGTCTACTATGTATATAGATTTCTTTCTTTATAGTGTAATTTAGCCTTGTTCTTGGTTGTGTTTTCTGTACAACAGAATGTAAGTCCACAGGCTTGTTAGGTCCAGATTAAACATTTTAGGGAAGAATACTTTGTAGATTATTTGTATCTCATATTTTACTGTCAGAAATCATTTAAGTACACGTCCTTGCATTAGTGAAACTAAGGATGATCATTTGGGTAAGTTGGTAGCTGCCATAAGTCCATTGTAAAGATTTAGTTTGTAGTGCCTAAGTAATCTATGGAGAGACTTTGTCATCCCTGAAAATTGAAAAAAATTAAGCCTTTAAATCAAGCTATAAAACATGACACCATTAGTCTGGGTGCAGTGGCTCACGCCTTTAATTCCAGCACTTTGGGAGGCCGAGGTGGGCAGATCACCTGAGGTCAGGAGTTTGAGAACAGCCTGGCCAACATGGTGAAACCCCATCTCTACTAAATTACAAAAATTAGCTGGATGTGGTGGCGGGTGCCTGTAATCCCAGTTACTTGGGAGTAATCACCCAAACTCGGAAGGTGGAGTTTGCAGTGAGCTGAGATCGCACCACTGCATTCCAGCCTGAGTGACAGTGAGACTTCATCCCAAAACAACCAAAAAAACCCCAAAACAAAACATGATACCATTGTGGCATTATGAATTAGATTAATTTTTTTAAGATTAAGAATAATCCTTTATGACTTTATTCCATTGTATTAAAACATTTATAAAGTGATCATTTATATTGATAGCTTTCTTCTTTTTGTAATTATATCCTGGTCAAATTATTCTTTTGATAGACTACTTAATTCTATCTTTTACCATTTAATGGCATCTATAATCGTAAGTTATAATTTTTAAAGTATTTTTCAGGTATTGATATTGCAATGATCTTATAAAACTTATAAAACAAGATTATATAAAACTTGGCTTTCAAATTTTATGTTCCTATTTTTTATTTCCAGTTTCATCTTTTCTGTATTCATTCTCTTGAACTTTCTTCTTTGACCTCAAAAGATTCCCTGGGTATTAGCCCAGCACTACTCCATTATGGGTCATTGCACATCCCGTTAGTATTATTAAGAATTGTCATAAAAAAAAGATCCCTGGCAGGCTTTCAGTGAAACTGTATCATCATGCAATCTTGGCAGTACTATGTTGGAAGTCAGAGTCCCTTTGCAAACATAATAAAACATTTTATTTGCTAAAGTTACAAACCAAGTATGCACAAATTTAAAAATCACAGCTGGGCACGATGGCTCACACCTGTAATCCCCAATTTAAAATTGTTTGACTTACAATGTTCAGCTTTATAATGGTACAAAAGTGATAATGCTGCTATAGTTTGGCTATTTTTCCCCTCCAAATCTCATGTTGAAGTTTGATCCCAGTGTTGGAGGTGGGGGCTAATGGGAGGTGATTGGATCATGAGGGAAGATCCCTCATGAATTAATGTCCTCTCTGGATTAGGGGGTGAGTTATTACTTTATTAGTTGCTATGGGAGCTGGTTGTTCAGAAGAGCCTGGCACCTCCTTCCTCACCCTCTTGCTTCCTCTTTTGTCATATGATGTCTGCATACACTGTCCCCTTCATCTTTTGCCATAAGTGGAAGCAGCCTGAGGCTCTTACCAGAAGCAGAATCTGTACATGATTCTTGTACATCCTGCAGAACAGCAAGCCAAATAAACCTCTTTATTAATTACCCAGCCTCAGGTATTCCTTTATAGTAACACAAAATGGAGTAAGACATACTCAGTCAGAGTATGCTCTGCAACTTAAAATGGGGCTGTGTCTAGATAAACCCATTGTTCTTTTTTTTTTTTTTGAGACGGAGTTTCGCTCTTGTTACCCAGGCTGGAGTGCAATGGCACGATCTCGGCTCACTGCAGCCTCCACCTCCTGGGTTCAGGCATTTCTCCTGCCTCAGCCTCCTGAGTAGCTGGGATTACAGGCACACGCCACCATGCCCAGCTAATTTTTTGTATTTTTAGTAGAGACGGGGTTTCACCATGTTGACCAGGATGGTCTCGATCTCTTGACCTTGTGATCCACCTGCCTCGGCCTCCCAAAGTGCTGGGATTACAGGCTTGAGCCACTGCGCCTGGCCAAACCCATTGTTAAGTTGGAAATATTGTAGGTTATAAATGCAAACTTGGCATATGATATCAATTTATGATGGGTTGATCTGGATATAACCCCATCATAAATTGAGAAGCATCTGTAGTAATTATGATAATTTGATGCTCAAATTGACATAATAGGCCAGTAGGAATCCATTTACATTTGTTTGGGTTTTCTTTTACTTCTTTTTTTTCTTTTGACTTCTTAAAGTAATATTGTTTTCAGGTCATAAGATGTTTTAGATTGATCCTGTTTGTTGGTTCATGTCCCCATGCCTCTTGTCCTGAGTCATGGAATCAACTCATTATTCAGTACCCTCTTATCTTAGGGAGTCCTGGTTCCTTTTGAAGGAAAAGAACAGTAGAAACCCAAAAATCTGGCTGCTGTGGGTGCACATGGCAGTTATAGGTATGGAAAAAGATGCTTTTATTAGAATTCTTTTAATAGTTTCAGAGTTGAAAATGTCATCATAAGGTCAGAAGTTCACTCTGATTTTTCTTAACTTACATGTCTATGATCTGCTTTTTGCATTTGGGATTTTATTGAATTAAAAGGTTTTATGTATGGTGATAGCTGATGTTTATCTCCTGTTAAGACCTGTCTGCAATGATAAATTAATCTGCCTCCCATTTTTGGAGATACTGCTCTGATTCATATTTGTCATGGTGTTTCTGAGCAGCATTGTGAAGTAGTTGTTTTAGAACATTTAATAGTAGATGATATCTTGAATGTTCATGGACTCCCTAGAAAAGAAGCAAAAGTAGACACAAGATTTCTGTCATCCTTTTACAGTATATTGTGATCATCCAGTTTGGGGTATGAGGGATAAGGGACCTGTGTGTCTTAATTTCCAGAATCTCATTCCATTTCAAGAGTCTTCTGCACAAGTGTGGTCTCAGGGATTCATTGTCTTTGTTATTGATCAAACTGAAACCATCTCCATGGGTTCCTCAGTGGATCAGAATCTGCTATTTATTAGGCCCCCATATCCATTCTACCCTGCTTCCAGGAATATAGAACGAGTAATTTTTATTAACACTTGGCTATTACCATCTAGAATAAGGACTGTATTTATTTCTCCAAGGTGTCATGTGACATAACTTATGGCAAGTAGGATATAAGTGAATATTTTGGCAATTCTGGAAACCTCTTAAAACACTGGCTTAATACATTAGTATTTGAGAAATCCAGGTGAAGGGTATCCAGAAATTCTTTACTATTCTTCCAAGTTCTGTGTAAGTCTGAGTGCTCATTCCATTCTGATGCCAGAATGGTAAAATTCATGATTGATTTGGAGCAAGGCCACAATATCAGGCTTACATCTATACAATATGGTTGAGAAATTAACTTTTATCTTTTTTTATCAACTTTAATTTGGGGCAGTTTTACTATTTTACCCACAACCAAATTTAATCTTAAATGATACAACCAGATTGCCACATGTTAAAAGTAATGAATCAACATATCCTTCTGTGTTCTCTAAGTCAAAAACACTGATCTGTAGAGAACAGAGTATCCCATGCATGTTGTCATGTACTTATTCCACACCCTACTGAAATCACAGTACCCAAATGGGAGACATTTTTTTTTCTTCAAGAATATATGTTTCTGCCACATCTATGATCCTCCAGAATGAGATGACAGAAAATGCTAAACTATTGTTAAATGACTATATGTAGTTCCACTTCTAGATGGTAGATAGGGGTCTCTGCAAACTCATTTTCTAGTTAAACTGGCACACAAAAAAAATCATAAACCTTGCCATTTGAGGTCTGAATGTGTCCAGAGTATATAGGAAATGAAATACAAAATTCTACTAAAACTTGGTAAGAACCAAGAACTTGGAAAGATAATTTGTGGCATTTAAGACACAACCAACTACATTTTACTCTTCACAGTTCAATTTGATAGAAGCTTCACTCTGAATGGATGCTGCCAAGATGATGGGGCTCCAATCAAGGTTTGTCATACATTGACAGGAGGGGCACACCTCCAGGTTTCTTATCCCTACCAGCTCTTGAAGTAGTTAAATTCCTGTTGAACACAACTAAGAGGTTTGGGACTCCTTTGCTTCCCGCAGCCTCACCCACAGTTTGGAAATTCTACCTAGGCACAGTGAACTCAGATTTGGACCCTGATTGCCCTTGCCTCAGCTTGTTTGTAAGGCAGAGGTTTCACAAGA